GTCGAATCACAATCTGTAAATTTTTCATTACAAAAAAATTCTCATATTGTGACACGACCTCAGAGGAGTGTGCAGTGCAGTCGTCATAGGTCGAACGAGACATCAAGTGTGAGGGAGTCGACGGTGGCGCTCAAGGGTGGCCTGGTACCGATCGGTCGCGCTCGAGCGAGTAGGATCGTGTAGCATGCGAGAAGCGGCCACTAGCTCGCGGTCAAGCTGAGTAATGTAAAGCTCCTTGGCTGTATCACTTCGCCAACGGCCGAGGGCCTTGAAAAGCCGGTCGGGGACTCCAACATCAACGGCGACCGTCGCAGCTGCCTTGCGGAAAGAATGGGTGCCCAGGAGGGCTGGGTTGAGGCCGACACGGGAGAAAGCATCTTGACACCAACCCCGAATGGCGGCGTACGAGGGAGGGCGATCTGAGGGGGAAGCTCGGGCACCTGGCTGAAATATACGAATAAGGGGGCCAAGGGTCTGCGGAGAATAGCCAGCCAGGAAGAGGAACTGTTGGACACGCGACACCGGACAGTGGCGGGCAGAAGAAGCAGCCACTGGGACCCAAACACCGGTGCCCGCTTGGTCGGTCTTCGAACGGGGGATGAACAACCACATGCAGTCCCGATCGAACTCGATCTGGTGCCACTGGAGGGAGATGAGATCAGAGAAACGAAGGAAGGCTACGAACATGAGGAGGGGAATAAGGCCCCATTGGAATGTGGCCGGATCATGCGAGGAGAAGTAGAAGTCACAGATATCGTAAATCTTGGCGGGAGGAATGGGCTCTTTCGCTTGAGATGGCTTGCCACAATGACGCATGGCATAATCCTTGACTTGCGAAGAAAAGGGGCCGCGAATCGGGGAGGGGTGGCCGACCAGCCAATGGGCGCAGGATATGGCGGAACACGCAGTGCGCACAGCTGAGACGGTAGCGCCGCGACGGACCGAGTGCAGCAGAAAGAGGGCCGATGTCAGGTCGGTGGCGGGAAGGAAGGGAAGTGAGTGCGCCAAACAGAAGGCTCGAAACTGTCGCCAATAGGGCAGCCAGGATGAGGGCGGGTGGAGGAAAGGCGAAGCAATTCTCGTGTCCCCAGTTAATAGAAAAGGCATCTTGCGCAACCGCCGAGTGTGAGAACTCGAGGGAGCAGAAACGAGCGAGCTGCGCATTGGCAGGGGATGCAAACAAGTCGATGGTATGAGGCCCCCAATGCCTCTCCAGCAGCAGAAACCAAGGACGTGTCAAGGAGTAGTCGTCGTGGAGCTCAATCTTGGACAGAGCATCGGCTTCAGTATTCAGCGCACGGGGAATCCATTGGACCGTGAGACGGATCATATGGCGCACGCACAATTGAATAATCGCGCGGCATACGAAGGTAAGCTCGGGACGGCGAGAGCCTCCCTTCTGGAGGATGTAGTAGGCCGCCTGACTGTCGCTGCGGAGCAAGATGTGCGAACGCCGGATCTCGACAGAAAAGGCCGAAAGGGACCAAAAGATTCCGGCCAACTCGCGAAGGGTACTGGACGAGCCCAAGAAGGTTAGAGGCAGCGGGGAGGAGAGCGAGCCGACACGACCATCCGGCGCGGAATAACAAGCCCCCTAGGCATGGTCGCTAGCATCCACGTACATGACAACGTCGTACAAATGCGGGTTGTGGAAGCGGGCGCCGTTGAAAATGTCGAACTGTGTGAGCCAAAAACGCAGCTCTTCAACAGACTCAGGGGTTAGGAGAATGGCCGCCCCCCATGAGTGGCATTCGGCGATCTGAGCGAAAAGGTGGTGGGAGAAGGCGCGCGCGACGGTGCCAACTGCCAAGGACATGGAGGCCAACATGCCGGTGATGCGGGCAACGCGGCGAACAGGGATGCGACGCCCGTTAGCGCCGAGTGTGCCTAATTCATCCAGCTCGGCAAACAGCCGATCGCGCCGATCCGCATCGACAGAGAATGTGGTGGTGCGCGTGTCCAGCAAGAGGCCCAAGAACTTCAACGATTGTGCCGGCGCGAGTTGTGATTTTTTTAAATTCACTACGAAGCCCGCGGCTGCAAGGTCGGCGATGATTATGGAGCGGTTGTGAAGTGCCTCCGTTCGAGTGGCACTAATGAATAGGATATCATCGACGTATGGAATAAGGCGGATGCCACGGCTACGCCAGCGTTTGGAGAGTTGCTTAATTAACAGGGTAAACACAAATGGCGCTGTAGCCAGCCCGAAAGGCAAGGAGAGGAATTGGTAGTCCTGCCCTTGCAGGGAGAATCCGAGAAACCGCCAAAAGGCGGGGTGGATGTCGACGTGGTGGTACCCAGATTTGAGATCGATGGTGAATAGCCAATCGCCTTCTTGCACCAAATCAGGAACGCGAGTAAGTCCTTTGTATCGAAAACGAGGCACCGAGAGGAATGAGTTGACATGCCGCAAGTCCAATATCAGCCTCTTTTTAGAGGGTTGGACAATCACGTTTAATGGGCTAACGCATGTAAGGGTTGCGGAAGGAGGTACGACCCGAGCTGCGCCGGTGGCGAGAAGCTCGGCCACTGCACCTACAGCGAAAGATGTGAATTGCAAGGCACCGGCATGATTCTTAGTACGAGACGGGGGGGGCTCAGAGGCAACCCATGGTAGGCGATATCCAAATGTAATCACCGATAGAATCAAGCGGCTGTCGCACCAGGCGGACCACCATGCAGCGCGGTCACGGAGGCGGCCTTGCATGCGGGTAATCTTGGTTGCATCATCGGCATAGGCCGAAATGGTTCCGAGCTCTGGTGGGAGAGGGAACACAAATAGGGACGGTAGAGAGTCAGGAAGGTGCTTCACCTCATTTAGTTCCGACCTCAACAAGGGAGTTTTTTTTTTTTTTTTTTTTTTTTTTTTTTGTCGGGAAGGAAGGCAAACGCTAATTATAGGTGCCCACTCGCTCGCTATTTTCTTCGGCCACGTCATCCCTTAAGTAATAAACCATTGGATTGGGCATGTCAACTTGGCATACTGGGCTGTAGTTGGTGGTCATATATGGTGATGACATAGAATCTTGTCATGAGTCTTATCAACGGCAGTCTTTAGAGGACACACACACATTGTGTAAGCGTCTTGTGGGCACGTTCAGGCCCAACGGGCAAGACCATGTGGTCGTATGACGCGCGTATTAATCTTACTTGAGTGCAATAATCTGTGTGTATGTTGTTGTTGTTGTTGTCTTTTTTTTTCTTTTTTTTTAATATTAAGAACGCTACAACATCGGAGAGGTTAAGCAATCTTTACACAATCTTAGCCGGCCGATTGGCCCCTTGGCCTCTTTGGGGGCAATTAGCCATCCCATGCCCGGGTTCACGACAATAGAAACAACGGCCGTCGCCGTCCCTACGCCATGTGTTCCAAAGGCGCTCCCCTTGGCCTCGAGGGCGAAGAGGGGGTTCAGGACGGGATGTGGAATGGGTGGGCCGAGTGGGCCTCTTCTTGCTAGCCGCTACAATCTGAGAAGCAGCCTTGATATTCTTATCCTCTACCACTTCCCCGTATTTAATCTTAAGGGCCATATTGACCACTTCAAAACCGCGTTGATCGGCGGTAAACAAAAAATGAATCTTTTCTTCCGCCTCCTCTACTATCTGCTGGAGATAGTCGGCGGCTTGTTCACCACCATCAGGTGGTAAAACCGAAATAGCATGACGTGCAATAGCTTGAATGCGCTTAAAACTAAAAAGTTGCGTACGAATGCCATCGCTTTTAACTAAGGAAGAGCGCAACTGAGGACGTGCAGGTGGAATAGGAGCAAGGGCGAGCGCTGCAGAAGCGGATTTTGGGCGGGCAGCATTACCTTCGTCGAGCGTGGCATGGGGTGCTTCCTCGTCCATTTCGTCGTCCACGGGCTCGGGGGCGGGCGCCGGGAGGCGAGAGCGTGGGGCTGCCGCCACTGCGACGCGTGCTGGTTCCGGAGGCGGTGCTGGATCGGCGCCATTGCCACGCTGGAGCGCCGCAAGAAGACCAAGAACGTGGTGAATGGCCTCATTGTTGGTGCCGGCGTAATCATTATTGTCGGTGTAGCGAGCAGAATTATTTTCTGCAGAACGAGGCGCTGTGGATGCAGTGGAGCGTGCTGTAACGCGTTCGCCAGCAGCAGCTCCTGTGAAGATTCGCTGAAGATTGCGCTGGGCTGCAGGATCCAGGCGGGCAATCATTTCGGCGATATCTGCTGCTCCAGGGGTCGAGATCTGCGGATTTTCGCGCGGATTCGCTGCAGCAGGGGGAAAATCCGTCCGGCGATCTGCGCGATCCCGGTCCCGATTCTGACGATCCTGGCGAATCTGGGGCGCGGGGGCGTTGAGATCGCGCTCATGATGACGCCTTGCGCGCGCAGGATCACGATCATGATTGTGGTCCTTGCGCGCAGGACCGTCATGATTGCGTTCGGTAGGTGGGGGGCGTGACGGGGCATTTTCGGCAGGCAGGTTCGTGTCGACACGGTTCTGCTCGTTACGCCGCTCGCCTTGAAACCCGGGGGGGAAGTCGCGATTGCGTGACGTGTTACGATCCGCGTCCCCCGCCACGTTTTCGACGTGCTGAACAGGGTCTTGACGCGCGCCACTCAGCAAATCCAAAGCGGTAACGGCGCCGTTACCTCCGCCAGGACGAGGAGAACGAGAGCGTTCTCTATGCTGAGAGGAAGAGTTTCGGTCCCCCTCACGTGCAGGGGACCCCCGCCTTCCACCACTCCTAGTATTCACGCGAGGAGCGGGAGGCCTACCACTTGCAGCGGAAATAAGTCCGCTGACCATTGTAGAGAATCTAACAGAAAAAACGTCTTGCAGCAAGAGACTCCTATGCCCAGATCTGGGCATAAGAGAGGTTTAGAGTGTGCTGGTGGTATGCAAGTTGGAACAGAAAAATGCAAATGAGACTAGGTGGCAGGTCTGAAAGACCTGCCGATAGATGAAGGAGTTTGTCTCCTTTACAGCAAACTCCTCTTCTAGTCGAATCACAATCTGTAAAATTTTCATTACAAAAAATTTCTCATCACACATTGTTGAAAGATCAAGCAAAATTTTGTATCCTAACCCTAAATAGTAAAATTGATCTCATGCACGACAACAGTATGTTAGAACTGACCTACCATGTACCTGTTAGTAACGTGTTGTGAGCTGAACTCTACCGCATCCCCAGCAGACAGGAGCGGAAGACTCGACTTACTCGAGCTTCTAGAGGATCCCTTTTTCAACAGCCCCTTCGATTTCCCATCCCTCCCATCCTTCCCATCCTTCCTGTCCCCTTCCTTCCCCTCCTTGCTCCCTTTCGGCCGCTCAACCTCCTGATACCTATGCTTCTTCTCTTTCTTTTCAAGCCCACTCCCTCCCTGGCCACCCCCCTGGGCTGGAGCCGACACGGTCCGAGTAAAATTTTGCTTACTTCCCGAACCTGACCCCCCGCCGCCCGCACCACTCCCCCACCCACCACCACCATCAGCAGCACTAGCAGCAAGAGCAGGAGGGGGCATGGGGCCGGCAAGGGTGGGTTGGAAGTTGTACTTGGGCTCCTCCCCTTGTATGTGCAGGTCCTGCACCTTATGCTGGATGGCAGACAGCCGTGTTGCCACCTCAGCCATGGACGGCCGCTGGGCGGCGCTCTTTTGGACACACATGGCTGCTACACCCGCCAGGGCTTTCATTGCCACTGGAGGGTAGTTGTTTTCTAGGGCTGGGTCGACTACTGCCTTCAGCTTGCCGGCTGCTATAAGAGGAATGGCCTGCATGGAGGGGAGGGGAGGGGACAAAAAGGAGATTGTAAGAGTTTATTTGATAAATACAAAATGACTAAAAAAAAATTTAGACAATATCTCGAAATGAGGGCGGCAATGGAACGCATGTTACACATGAAGAATGAAACGAGTCAAACTCAGAAAACAAGATCCGAGATGCCTCAGAACAAAAAAGATTCTAGACGCTAAAAACAGAAGTCCAGTCGTCTCAAAAAGAGAACGCCACTCACCCAGCTGACCAGTGTCATTATCGCCCGTATGCTCGCCTTGTTCTTCTTAAAGCCCAAGGTTAAAATAGCAAACCCCATTCAAGTTGGGCCCAGCTTGAACAAGAGAATGGGCTTGGTTTGAACCAGAGTTGGGTTTTTTTGGGGGGGGGGCAGCAGACTATGTTTGAAATAGATTCGGAAGCAGTTTGTGCATTGAAATTATCGAATTGGGGTTGAACTACTGTTCACTTGCTCGTGTGGCAACGATCTGGCTTGTCGTACCGTGGCGAGGTGTCACACGATTTCCGACCCCCCCGTGACACTCGAGAAGCAAACCTGGTCCCAACTTGAAAATCGAGTTGGGTTCCAGAGGAAAAATTCGCACATGCGATTCCTTTTGACACGCGAATCGCTCAAGTCGTGACCGCGTCAGAAGGGTCACACTGTACATTTCGCCAGGCTGATTGTTGCCTCCGCCAATCATAATCGAGCAGTTCATTTCAGACTCCTTTCCATCCGAAATTCACAACAGTGATTCCAGTCAGTCATCCTATACTAAGACGGATTTTAGAAGGTAAATGTTCAAGTTGGGCCCACCTTTGCTATTATAGTCTAGGGCTTTAAAGCCCAGCGCCTCAATTTCAGGAGGGAAACTCAAAAGTAACGAACGAGTTGATTCCAGAGTCAGCGGGAAACTCACCCAGCTGACGAGTGTCGTGATCGCTCTCATGCTCGCCTTCTTGTTCTTCTTAAAGCCCAGCGCCTCCATCTCCCTCTGCTGCTGAGTCTTTCCCCCCACGCCTGGCCGGAGCCTCAGCAGCGACGCCATGCTGCTCGCAATGCTCTTCTTCCTAGTGTCCGGTAAAATCGCCCGCTGCCCGGTGATCAGCTCCAGGAGTACCACTCCGAAACTGTAAACATCACTTTTAGCTGTTGCGATGTAGGTTTTAGAGTACTCCGGGTCGCAATACCCCGGGGTTCCCATGAGCCTAGTGTGGTTCACTGCTGCTCCTGCGCCTCCCCCCCCCCCTGCCACGTCGGCCGATTTCAGCAGCCCGAAGTCCGCGATCTTCGCCTGTAAATTCTCCGTGAGAAGGATATTATCTGATTTGACATCCCTGTGGATCACCGGGTCCGCTGCGAAGTCGTGAAGATACCGCAGCCCCTCTGCTGCCCCCACCGCGATACTCACTCTCTCATCAAAGGTCAACGGAGGGGGGAGGTCTGGCTTTCGGCTGCTAGATGACCGGCTTTGGGGCGACAATAAACCTGCTGAGGTGGACGAGGAGGAGGAGGAGGCGGAAGAGGGGAAGCCCTTGCTAGCGTAGAGACGGTTGAAAGGCCGGTCTTTGGGTGGGGAGGAGGGCTGGGAGGGGCGGTGGAGGCGCGAGGAGAGCATGCCGTGGTGCATGAACTCGTAGACGAGGATGCGCTCGTCGCAGTCCGCCCAGAAGCCGATCAGACGGACGAGGTGCTGGTGGGCCATTCGACTCATGGAAGAGACCTGGGGGCGGGGGAGAGGAAGGGGGAGGGCGCAAGGAAGGGGGGAGGCGCATGCCGTGGTGCATGAACTCTTAGACGAGGATGCGCTCGTCGCAGTCCGCCCAGAAGCCGATCAGACGGACGAGGTGCTGGTGGGCCATTCGACTCATGGTAGAGACCTGGGAGGGGCAGGGGCACAGGGGGGGCGAGGAGTGAGAGAGTGAGAGACAAGGATGTGCTCGTCGCAGTCCGCCGAGAAGCCGATCAGACGCACCAAGTGTTGATGGGTCATTCGACTCTTGAAGGAGACCTGGGAGGGGAAAGGAGAGGCCGAGGAGGGAAAGGAAAGGAGGGAAAGGAGGGGGGAGGGGGGAAAGGAGTGAGCGTCCCCACGGTGGATGAGGATGCGCTCGTCACAGTCCGCCCAGAAGCCAATGAGGTGCACCAAGTGTTGATGGGCCATTCGACTCATGAATGAGACCTGGGGAAAAGAAGAGTGGAGGGATGCAGAGGGGTGCAGAGTGGTGAAGAAGTTTGTAAAGCAGAGTGGAGGAATGATAAACCCGCTCTTTCCTCCCCTCTGGAGCTCACCTCTTTCTCAAAACCTTCCGGCCATTCATCCAATACTGCATTCGCCCGCTTGGCCGCCCTGATCTCCCCGTTAGCAGCGCCCCTTCTTCACACACACCCGAATCCCCCCTCCTTCTTCCCTCCAAGCCAAGCTCACCTCCTTCTCGAATTCCTCTAGTTGTTCATCCGACACCGTGTTCGCCCGTTTGACCGCCCAGATCTCCCCGTTAGCAGCATCCCCTCGGTACACACACCCGAATCCGCCCTCCCCCAGCTTGCGCCTCGGATCCCACGAGTCCGTGGCAGCTATGATCTCCTCCAGGGGAATCTGCCGGGACAACCCCGCCCCCATCACCCCAATGCTTATCCCCATCCCCATCCCCATCCCCATCCCCATGCCCATCCCCATGCCCATGGCGGTTCGGTCGGAGGCTCGGTCGGAGGCTCGGCCAGAGAGCTTGCCGAAGCTGAAGCTGCTGCCGTCCGAACCTGTGCTGCTGCGGCCGCTCTGCCTCATGCTTGCTTCGTCCTGCCCCCCCACTCTCCCCCCTCCTGCTGCTGCCGTGCCCGCCATAGAGGGGCCAAAAGCAGCAGCAGAGGGGGTAGTGGGAGTACCTGCAGCGAGGGATTTCCCTCCGGGTGTAGTATTGGCTGAAGCAGCAGCAGCGGCAGCAGCAGCAGCAGCAGCAGCCTTGGAAATTCTAACCTTAACAATTGTTGCCCTTCCCTTTCCCGTATCTTCTCCTCTCCCTCTTCCTCCCTCTCCTCCTCCCCCTACCCCCTCCCTTTCCATCCATGTCAGTTCACCCTCCACCAACCTCTGCTGCACTTTCTCCCGGAAATCGGGAAGCACGAGATGGAGGAGTGCAGAGCGGTGACACATCAGGAGATCCGATTCCTTGGACCTGGGAGCGCCTAACTCGTTAAGAAGCATGGTCACCGGCACTACAGAGGGGATGAACGCCACCGGCAGGTCGTCAGGGTCGCTACACCCCACCCACTTCGTGTACCAGATCAAATCGGATACGCGATCTAATAAAATCTGCGAGCAAAGGCGCGAATTGGTCTGAACAGAACGGTAACCAGGACCAGCCGTGCGTGGGGCTGTTGATTTGCCAACGATGCTGCCACCGCTGCTGCTCTTCCTGCTCTCGTCGTCTCTAGCCAGTGGCCCCCTTGGGGATACGTCCCTGCTAGTCTCACCCTCCCTTTCATCCTTCCCTGAAAGCAGCCCACTATGCACCCCACCACTACCACCACCAGCAGCACCACCAGCGGCACCAGCAGCAGTACCAATGGCACCAGCAGCAGCAGCAGCAGCAGCGGCAGCGGCAGCAGATGCAGATTTGAAAAGGTCCCTCAACTCCCCCATCCCATCCTCCCACACAATCACCTCCCCTAACGCACCCCCCTCGTTACTGTCACACTCAGCACTCAGCCTAGCCCAGTCATTCTGTGGACACAACAGCAGCAGAGGCACCTCCCTACTCTCCCCTCCTCCCTGCCCCACCGATCCCACGTTTCCCACAGATCCCCCCTCCCCAGTTCCAACCCCCCTCGGACTGCCCCTGAGGACGGTCAAATCCTCCTCTCCTGCCCCCTCTGCTGCTGCTCTCAGCGCCTTTCCCAGGAGGGAGAGGCGGGCGAGGGATCGGGCATGGGAGACGCCTAGACCGTATAGTGACCCCTTGCTGGCTGAGAACACCTCCTCTATTTCGTCTGAGACTTCAGTGAGCAGGGATAGGGCGGTTTGTTGCTGGAGCTGGTGCAGCAGCTGCTGCTGCTGCTTCTCTGCGAGCTGCTGCTGCAGGTGGGTTCTCTCCTGCTGCTGCTTCTGCTGCTGCTGCTGCTGCTTGAGGTTGCGAGTTTCACCTGCAGTTTCCCCAGGTGCTACTTCTGTCGCCCCCTCTGCTTCTCCCTTTGCTTCTCCATCTGATGTTTCCCCCACACCTTCTTTCCTGCCCCCATCACCCAATGCGCTCTCTCCCTCTGTTGAGTGCCCTTGTGCTGCTGCTCCTGCCTCTGCTCCTGCTTCTGCTGCTGCCTCTGCTGCTGCCTCGGCTGCCTGCGCGTCTTTCTCTGCTTCCCCTCCTACCCCAGTTTCCCTCTCCCCGTCGTGCTGCTGCTGCCGCTGTTCCCATTCTGCCTCTCCTGTCTGCCCCACCTCTCCCTTCGCCTCTGGAAACAGGGTCAGCAGCTGCTCAATCTCTTGCTTCACCCGCAAAGCAAACAGGCGGACTAGAAGCAGCGGACAACGACGGGAATCACCCTGGTTATGGGGGATAAGCGAAGAAAGAGAACACAAAGCGTAAGAGAATGTGATAATGTGGGTACAAAACTTGCGAGGTTTAGAAGGATTTCAAAATAAGAGCCCCACATCACTGCCGTCCATCAACATTTCTCACCTCATCTGAGCCGTCCATCCTCTCCTGGGCCATCCCCGCCAACTCATCCACCATCTGCTGCAGCTCCCTCACCTCGCTGCCACGTGGCAGCGCGCCATTGGTCAGCGGCGCCAGCAGCAGCGTGTCATAAGCAGCCATGGCGTCCTGGACTGCAAAGAAGAGATCGTTCCACTCGACAGCCAGTGAAGGACAAGCGGTCAGGTCGAAGCAGGAAGAGCCTGGAAGGGGGAAGGGGAGGGGTGGTGCGGGCGGGGAAGCGGGGTGGGGTGGGGACGAGGAAGGCGGGGTCAAGTGGTCAGGTTGGAGCAGGACGAATCGAGACTGAGGGGGGAGGGGAAAACGAAGCACGAGCAGCCGTTCTGAGGGGGATCAAGCTTCCTCAGTGATCGAGCACAAGCAGAGGTGGCGTCCTGCACTGCAAAGAAGAGGTCGTTCCTCACAACACACACATAGAACAAACCACAGTGCGCACACGCACAGGAGAGCACCCGGAAGGGCGCATCAGCGACCGACAGCTGCTCCAACCAATCCCGCACTGGACTGCTCGCACCCAAACGAGGACAAGCGGCAGCGCACACCCACAGCACACACATAGCACAACCATAGAGCACACACACATAGCACAACCACAGAGCACACACACATAGCACAACCACAGAGCACACAAAAATAGCACAACCACAGAGCACACACACATAGCACAACCACAGAGCACACAGGAGCACCCACCAGGCAGGAAGGGCGCATCAGCGACAGACATCTGCTCCGACCAATCCCGCCCTGGACTGCTCGCCGCAGACCCCAACGCCGACCCCCCTCCCCCTCCCCCTCCCCCTCCTCCTCCCCCTCTTCCCCCACCCCCTCCTCCCCCATTGGGCACGGAAGCAGAAGCGGGCAGCCGGGGAAGAAACTGCCCTGATCCGCCTGCTCTGGCGAGATCCTTAGGCTCGCTGGGGACTGACGAGGAGTGCGATAGGGAGAGGTGTGAGCGCATGTCTGCTGATCTACGGCGAACGTGCATGCGAGGAGGGGTCCCCGCACTTCCTGCTGTCCCTGATGTCCCTGCTGCTGTTTCTGCTGTCCCTGCTGCTCCTGTTGCTGTTCCTGCTGCTCCTCCAATTGCTGTTCCTGCTGCTGCTCCTGTTGCTGTTGCTGGTGAGTCTGATGATGATAGATGCGGGGAATGGAACTGTTGCACGTACGCAGCAGCGCTCGCTTTAGTGAAAGGCTCCGTCTTTATAGCGGGACCGTCTGTACCCTTCATAGGGGACGCGTTCTGGCTCCCACCGAAAGTTGTGCTGACAGACTTCTGCAGAAACTGCCTGTTTATAACGGGGACAGCCACATGCCCTACGTCACTCCCTAGACTAACCGCCCTCACCATTCCGCCACTCCATCCTCCTCCTCCGCCTCCCCCTGCTCCGCCTCCCCCTCCGCCTCCTCCCCCTATTCCTGCGGAGAGGCGGATTGGGCGAGTGGCGCTGCAGCTAAGGCCGCCCCTGCTGCCGCCGAAAGCGCTGCTACCGAGCGCGCTGCCACCTGTGATAGAACTGGAGGTGACTGTAGAGGAAGAAATGCGGCTCTGACCAATGACGCTGGGAGCATAGTCGTCTGCAAGAAACGACAGAAGAACGCGGAGATTAGAGGAAGAACACAAACGCAGTGGTTAGCACCTGCGGGCTTGTCGTACGTGCACGCGTTATGCTCTATAATAACTGCGTCTACAGTTGTTACCGCGCGTGACGGAGCTCGTTACGCTGCTACCATGGATCCCGCCAAAGGCACAAAATCACAAGAAGAAAAAAAAACGATAACCTGGTTATTACACATCTCAAACCAGGAATATAATAAAACGCTTGGCTTGTACGATACACCGTTACCCGATTTCTTCTACATTACCTGCGTCGCCATCTGCCTCGTTCCAGGGGTCAAGCTCCGAGAGGCACGCGTTAAGCACTCCAAGCAGTCGCTCGCACTTTTGAGTCGACTCAGAAGTTACCCATAGATAGTAATATTACCCGCGTTGCCACCCCACCCATAACGTTACCTGCGTTGCCATCTGCCTCGTTCCAGGGGTCAAGCTCCGAGAGGCACGCGTTGAGCACTTGAAGCAGTCGCTCGCACTTCCACGCCACACGCGCACCGTGTCTCTCCGCCTCCCTCTCCGCCTCCTTCTCCGCCTGTTTTCCCGCCTGTTTCTCCGCCTGTTTTTCCGCCTGTGTCTCCGCCTTTCTCTCCGCCTCCTTCTCCTCATCCTTATCCGCCCCCTTTTCCGCCTCCTTCACCGCCTCCGCCTCCCTCCCCTTTTCGGAGGCTTGAGGCAATGTATGTTTCTCCGGCTCAGCAGCCGATAATTCCGCCGCTGACGATGCTGCAGCTTGCAATATCCCAACGGCTTCTCGCGAATGGTATGCGCTTATAGCGGGGACAAGCGCGCCGAACGCGAGCTCGATTAACGAGGTGGGACACGAGACATCGTTAGGGCCTGGTGTAGCGACTCGACCGAGCAGCCATGTACGCTTCGAGACAGTTGGAGGGATTTCACTCGTACTCGTCATAGTATAGATTATGTCAGTTAAAGTTGACTAAATAAACAGCGTTGTTGCGATGAAGACAAGAGGCGCGCTTTTGGAAAGGAATATATATAAATCCTTCGACCAGACTTGTGTCCTTCGCGCGTAGATAGTAAGCTAGTTAGGGCAGCGGTGACTGTTTCTTGACAAGTGTAAGAACGTTATCGTTATAATTTTGCGAGGTGAAATGATTGATGTCAGTGGTGCCAAACAGTCAGCCATGAAAGAAATGGAGATCAAGCTTAGCTCGCATGACTGCTGCTGAGTCAACCTGCTATGCTCAGCTGGTTTCCTGCCTACCTGTCAGCAGCACCACTTCCTCTTGTGCTATGCTGCCGTGGCGGGAGGGATATCAGGTTTGCTTGCAGCAAGGCTTCGATATTGTCGGCAGCCTGCGATCTCGCTGAATTCTCCTACGTAGTTTTCGCACCCAATTGATCGTTGTCGTACGCGGTGTCAGCAGCCAGCGAAACTCAGCGACAATAATTCCACGGTTGCAACCTGGCAATCAGTGAACCAACAGAGGAAGTCGAGAGGTGGTGCAATCCCTAGACAGGTATGTACAAAACAAAGCATCCCTGACCGAGTTGAGCCGACGATCGTTTTCATCGGACGGTAACAATTGCCTCGAGATTGGCATTCTTGGAGCACGAAACAAGGGTAGGGGCGTGTGGGGGGCTGACTTCGCGAAATTCCCATGCGGCACGACGCTGATTGATGGGGGCAGTTTCAGGTCAATTTGTCGAGTCAGCGGAAACCTGTACGAAATCGAGATGTTTTCAGCCGTCGATTTCAGCGGAAGAATCCATCGGTATCGGCCCTGCGAGTCTGTGATTCGACAAAAGAACCCGGCCTGCCCAGGGCAGGGCATTGGCAGCAGCGAGGTTGTTGCTGCTGCCCGTCAAGCCACAAAGTTCGGGTTGTGCGAAGTGTCCAGTGTGCTGCCAAATGTGGGGATCCGCCGGCGGGTAACCAGCTGGCGATGAAGGAGATGTTCGGCGGGTGACTAGTCAGGAAGCTCTTGGGGTTGTCGACGTTTGCCAGGAATGTGCAAACGAACTGTGGGTCATCACAAACGAGGACAACGGGTCAGGCTTTGGGAATCGGTTTGGGAGATGGCGTCAACCTAAAGCTGATTCCAGCTCCACTCAACTTAGCTGGGTCGGGACTCGGGAGATGGAATCTTTCAGTCCGAATGTTTCTTGCTCTTGCTCCCCTGTACGGAAAAGGGTGGAGCTCCTTCGGTGATCAGCTGTTCCAGCCACACGTTATCATTCTGGTTCTATGGTCGCCTTTTGCCGCAAGATCCGGCCGCTCCTCTTGTGCCGTTTTATATCGATGATAATGGCGACACATGAAGAACGTGCTCGTTATTGATCACCTGAGCAGGCTACTCGGAAGATACCGCATATTGCGTGTATATGTATTTCGTTTCTGTATATTTGCTTCGTAAATGGCGCCGATAGCGGGAAACGGAGCGTCCGGGTCGTCTAGTCTTTACAAGGTGTGGGAGATCAGAGCGCTGAAGCGGCAGAAGCGGAGCGACGAGGCGAGAGCGATGCTGGAGCGAGTGGCGAAGCAGGTGGAGCCCATCATGCGCCGACGCTGCTGGAAGGTGCCACTGCTGTCGGAATTCAGGTACGCTTGTCTTGGATTCCTGCGTGGTGAGGCAAATTCCAAGGCAGAAGCGGAGCGACGAGGCGAGAGCCCCGTTGGAGCGAGTGGCGAAGCAGGTGAAGCCCATCGTGCGCCGACGCGGATGGAAGATGCCACTGCTTTCCGAATTCAGGCTCGACCATGTCTTCTACCTGCAATGGTCCCACTCGTGAAAATCTCAGCGACGAGGTGAGAGCCCCGTTGGAGCGAGTAGCGAAGTAGGTGGAACCAATCATGCGACGTCGCGGATGGAAGGTTCCGCTCGTTTCCGAGTTCAGGTAAATGGTTCCGGCACCTTGAAGCGCCTTCAAGCCAGAAGCGCAGCGACGAGGCAAGATGCACCCACTCTCGCATGAAAGTTCTCAGTTCTGCACACGCCCACTGCCAGATTATTTGTTGATCAGTGTTGACGGAAGACTTTGTTGTCACGCCTGTCATTCACCCGCGATTCTCTCACCCCCCCTGCTTGTCTCAGTCCCAGCAACGCTCGTCTCCTGGGGCTGAACTTCAACTGAGGGCGCGAGATCCACATTCGGCTCAGACCAGCAGGCAAGCCGAACTCGCCCATCATATCTGTGACTACTCACTTCGCTATTACGTATATCTTCCCCCCTGCCTGTCCAGTCCCAGCAACGCTCGTCTCTTGGGGTTAAACATCAACCGAGGGCGCGAGATCCGCATTCGGCTCAGACCAGCAGGCAATGCGGACTCACACTTTCCAACGAGCACGTTCTGCGCCATGATTCATATCTGTTGATACATTTTGTCAATTGACGTGCCACATGCCATGATAAAAGAGCTGATTCCAGTGGGTTGACTGAGCAGGTAAACCGGATTCCTTCTTCCCCTACGAGCATGTGCTGGGCACCATGCTGCACGAGCTCACCCACATCGAGCGAGGGCCCCACGACGCCAAGTTCTACAAGCTGCTGGACGATCTGAATGTGGTGAGCGCAGTTTTCTGTGCTGCGCTGTGCTGTGCTGTACCCGTGTCAGTACTCCATGCTGAGCACCATGCTGCATCGAGCTCACCCACATTGAATGAGGGCCCACGATTCCAAGTTCTACAAGCTGCTGGACGATCTGAATGCGGTGAGTGTGACGTGCGGTGCTGTGCTGTGCTGTCAGCACGTTTAGACCGAACGCATTGTCTGGGAAGCACAGCGTCATGGCGTGCTTGTTCTTGCCCTTGCTCCATTATCTTCCCCTCCTCCCTTCCCCCCATCTGTCTCCGTTCGCAACCCCATGGCATCAGGAGTGTGACGATCTGATAGCGCAAGGTATAACAGGAACTCCCTTCGGAGGCTCAGGTCACCGGCTAGGCACCTCTGCCTATCCCTCTATCCGCCCAGTACGCCTAGGCTCTACCGCTGCAGTTGTAGGCTTTTCTGCTCCCCCTGCCTATTCTGCTGCTGCCGCTTCTGAAAAGGGCTTGTCTGCTGGAGTCTCTTCCTCGGTAGCTTCTTCTGCTGCTGACGTGGCAAGCAGGAAGGCGGCTGCAGCAGCGGCTGAACGGCGGAGGCAGCAGCATGCCGTGATGATGCCAGCTGGCGGGCGGCGATTGGGCGGCGACAGTGAGATTATGAGGGTGTTGGCTCCCGTGCAGGCTGCAGCTATGGCTGCTGAGAGGCGGATGAGGGATGATGTGTGGTGTGGGAGAGGGCATGAGTGGGAGGGAGGGGAGAATAGAGGGGAGGGAAGAGGGGAGGGGACGGGGGTTGGGGGGAAAGGAGGGGGAGAAAAAGGGCGGAGAGGTGGAGTGGAAGAGGAGGAAGAGGAGGAATGGGAGAGTGCCAGGGAAGTGGGAGACGGTGGTGTTGCCCCTGCGGAACTGCCGAGGGCTCTAGATGGTGCTAGAGCAATGGGGGAGCGGTCTGGTGATGATGTAGGTTCAGGTTTGGGGGGAAAGCAGTGGAGGGCGGTAGGAGAGAGATTTGAGAGGGAGAGGTTGAGGAGTGGACGGGAAGTGAGAGAGTCTTGTAGGCGTCATGGGAGTAGCAGCGACTGCTGTGACTGTAGGCAAGGCGCAGGTGATGCTATAGCAGGTGAAGATGGCAAGGCTGGTGACACTATAGCGGGTGACGATGGGAAGGCTGGTGGGTCAAGGAAGCGGCCGTGTGGCCCTGGAGTGCAGGGCAATAGCAGCAATATAAGCAATAAAAGCAGTACAATCAATAAAGGCAAAACGGTGACTGTTAGCAGTGCTAGTGTAGGGGCGGAAGCTGTTGAGCAAAGAACAAGAAGTGCTGGAGGCTTCAGAGTAGACGAACAGACGGGAAGAGCAGGAGGAGGGCAGCAAGCAGACAGACCAGACAGCTGGACATGCCCTGTGTGCACTCTTATTAACCAGGTAAGAACCTCTGCATATATAAGCACACATATATGCATTTTACTGTATCCCGACTGGAATCCACCACACGAAGCCTTTCTTGCTGTTCTCCTGATTCAGCAATCCTTATCGAACCTTCTCTTCCTCCCTGGCTTGTTTTGTGTTGTGCAGGGGATTGTGCTTCAGTGCAAGGCTTGTCTGGCAGTGCGACCATCCTGTATCAGCAGTGCCTCATGTGTAACCCCTCCTTCTGTTACCCCTTCACCCCCTCCCCTCCCCTTGTGTTGTGCAGGGGATTGTGCTTCAGTGCGAGGCTTGTCTGGCAGTGCGACCATCTCCTGGCAGTGCTACCAATGCTGGTTCATCTCTAGCAGTGAATGCTGCTGATGGTAGCGGTGCGAGTACAGCCATTCTTATTGATGATAACAACTGCACCAGTGCAGCTGGTGTTGCTGCTGGTGGTGGCTGGGACGCTGGGGGGGGTGCTGGTGCTGCTGTGGTGGCTGGTGCGAGTAGGGATGCTGCTAGGAAAGCTGGTAGGGACGTTGGTAGGGATGCTGCTGGTGCTGCCAGGAGCGCAGTGTGGACATGCTGCCAGTGCACGCTAGAAAATGTTGCCGCCGTGGACCGATGCCAGGTTTGTGACTCATGGCGGTATGCCCTGGCCTGATTGTACTCTTTAGGGCATAGTCCTACGCACCGCGGTCGGGATCACATTCGCATGAAATCGATTTTAACCGTACTGATACGCGATTCAAACATGTGTATCGCACGGTATCACACGAGTCTGATCCTGATCCCGGTTCATAGGAACACGCCGTTATAAAGCTTTCTGGTAGAGGGAATGTGGACAGGCTCAGACCCTACGATTGGTTTAGAGGTCCCTGTCAAACATATATTGTGTTGTGTGATCCTATAGACTATACAGGGTTGTGCCTTAGAGAGTACAACTTATTAGGTTATATTCATTGTATGCCTTGTTCTAGTTGTTCTTTCACTTGAACATGGTATCATGAGTAGGTAGGACCCCCCTCCCCCAGTCGACCCAGTCCACCCCCCTCCCCGCCCTGCCCCGTCTGGTGTGTCTCACGTCACCTCCCTCCCGTCGGTTGTCCCTGCTGAGGAGTCCGCTGACTCTCGCGGCTCGGCGGAGTCTCTTCCCCCGCCTGTCCCTGCCCCGGTCTCGCCTCCCCTGTCGCCACCGCTGCTGTCCCCGCCGCAGCTGCCTTTGATGCTGTCGCCGCAGCCGCAACCGCTGTCGTCACCGCCGCTGGGGTTCGTGCGTTCTGGGGGCGCTGGCGAGCGGGCTGGAGCTGGTTCTGGAGCGGGCTCTGGGGGTGCTGACGTGGGGCTTCTCGGAGGGAGCCATTTGTCACTGGAGGTTCGGGTGTTGGAGTCGGGCAGCAGTCGCAGCTGTCGCCGCCGGTGTCCGCTCTTCGCCTCCTCGGTCTCCCTTCCCCTGACCGCCCGTTGCTGCCTCCCCCGCTGCCGCCGCCTCCTCCTCTGCCGGTCCACGGCCCCGTGTTTCCTCCCCCGGACTCCTCTCCGCCTCATTTCCCTCCCGGTTCTCCTCCTGTGTCTCCTCCCCTCTCTCCTGACCCGACTCCTCCGTCTCACGTCTAGTCTCGTCGTCCGTCTCGTGCTCGCCCTACCTCCCCTGTTCCACGTTCTCACCCTATGTTGCTGCGCTCTTACGCGTCTCATGCTCCTCCTCTCCTCCTGTTTCCTCCTCCGTTGTCGCTTGCTGTGGCCCCGCCTCCATTCTCGGACTTCCTCCGTGCTGCACATCCCCTTGTTCCTCGTGTCCTTGCCTCTCTTGTTACTGACCCGTCTGTTCCTGTCTCGAGTCTATCGGCTCTTGTCGCTGCTGTCACTGACTTCGCCGCTACCCGCCGCCTGGACTACGCCACCGCTCTGGTCTCTGACCTTGCCTGCCCTCCGACCGTCGGGGGTGTGGCTGCTCTTGGCAGTGACGTCCTAAAGGACAGGCAGCTCGAGCTCGCTTTCCTGTCTGAGGCCGCTCCCCATCTCTGTTCCATGCTACTAGTCCCTGAGGGTGACTGTGAGAGTACGACCCCGTTACACCACTTGGCCTTTTCTTATTTCCTTCCCTTTTCATTTCTCGTTTTACCGCATCTCATTTGGTTTCCTATTCTTCCTTTTCCATTAACCTTTGGTTTATCCTGCTATTATCATTATATCACCGACCAGGCTTGGGATGTATTGGTGTGCTCTATCTAGCGTAATCCTGCCGTAATCCCTTAAAGCCAATAGCCTCGCGTGGCTATACGCAGGGTGATTCTACCTTCTAGAAGGGTCTATTCCCTTAGGATAAGATAAACCTGGTTACCTGATGTACTCTGGAAGTATAAAAGCGCCTTGTACTGATCGATAGTGCAACTTTCCTCGACACATTCGATCCTGTGACACTTGGTAATCAGAGCTTTTCTCACTCGACCGTGCTCAGCTAAGCAGCAGCAGCGGGGGATCCTGCCTCGAAAAACCGCCGGGGGCGACCAATTCGACGCCGATTCTGGTAAGCACCAGCTCCGCGATTTTCGAATTACCCCCTCCGTGCGTGTTTTGAACAGGATGGCAACCTTCGACAACGCCGAGGTTACCCAGCAGCTCTTCGCGCGCATCGCAGCCCTTCAGGAGGAAATGCGAGCGGATCGCGAAGCGTGGCGAAACCAGTTCGAGCGAGTAACTCGACTCGCCGGAGCGCAGCACGAGACGACAACGGCGACGACGCAGCAGTCGCAGCAGTTTCTCGAGGCTCCGAAACCGCGCCCACCTGAGCCGTTCGATCCGAGCGATCGAAACTCCGACGCCCGCAGATGGATCGCCGGGATGGAGATCTACTTCGCAGCCGTCGGATGGAGCTCGCCAGTCTGGGACGGTCAACGCGTACGACTCGCGGCGACACTGATGCGAGGGCCGGCACTCGAGTGGATTGGCGGCAACAGTACTTTCATCCACGGTGAAGCCACGTGGCAGCAGTTCCGCGCCGACCTGCTGAAACGCTTCGAACCGATAAATTCGAGTTTCCTTGCCCGGGAAAAAATTCATCGACACCGACAGTTCGGGAGTGTAGCGCAGTACACGCAGCAGATGGAAGAATTTTATAACCGAATTCCCGACCTGACCGAAGGGGAAAAAGTACAATCGTACCTCGCCGAGCTGAAGACCGAAGTCAAACGACAAGTCGCAGCGTCAAACTACGCGAGCTACAGTGACGTCGTTTTGGCAGCGGAGCGCTTCGACATGGTCAACGCCGGAACACGACGGACGCACGTCGGCAGTACGCGACAGGGCGACTGCTCGGCTCACCCCACGTTCGCCGACCCGATGGAAGTCGACAGATTCGAGGGGCGGCCACGTCCGAAAAACACCAACTACACGTGTGATTTTTGCGGGGTGCCGGGCCACCGAATCTTCGACTGCAACAAAATGAAGGCCGCACGCGCAGAGTATCGGGCACGCAACAGTGGCGGAAATCTTTCGGCCAATCAGAAGACAAAAAACGGGAGTCGCCAGTGATTGCGGATCTAGCTGGCGAAAATAAAAAGATCCGAAAGCGGCCACGGGATTCCGGAAAAATCAACTTCGACGAAGCTGATTCGACGCGAGAAGGAGGAAATGATGGGGGAAAATCTCCACCCCGCGACCAGTCTTCGCCAGGGAAAATCGCCGAGAAAAAATACGACTCCGCGAAAAAAGACTCTGCCGAGACAGGGAAACTCCTTGAAGACCCAAGAAATTATAAGAATTCGTTAAAGTTATCTTATAAAGATGCTTTAATGAAAACCTATGATGTTCGAGAGGCTAGAGCCTTGGAGAAATTTCGGGAGGGACTCCAAAAGAAGCAGACAGCTGTGGAGATTATACCGGTACCGGACAACTTGGGGACCAAATTAAGGAGTGTGGAAAGAAGCCGACCTTTCCACGGAGTCAACGTCCTCTCCCGACACCAGCCCACAACGACTACCCGCTCCCCAGGGAAGACGTCGGTGGAGCTGAAGCAGCTCAAGAGGAAGCTGGGGGTCTACAAGAAGCTGCACAAACCCCGAACTCCTCCTACGGATGCATCCAGTTCTTCGGCATCAGTGACGCGCACAGTCAGGGAAACTCCGGGCCCTGGAGAAGAGCCGTTCTCCAAGCAGCCTCGGCCAGCTGCCAGCTCAGGAGTAGACAGCAACACAAAGGTGTGTACGGAGTATTGGGATGTACCCTATGACCCAATCAATGAAACTATCTTTGGGTACTCCGAGCAACGACTGCCCCTCGTGCTCGAGGTCATCTGCAAAGGACGACGCCTCCAAGCACTCGTGGACAGCGGAGCATCACACACCGTCTGCGACAAGGCAGTGATCGACCGACTTCGGGAAGAGTACAAGCCTTCAGGATTCTCTGCAACGATGGTGGACGGCAGCAAGTTACCAGTACACGGCGAAGCAGTGCTACATCTACAAATTGGACCACTGCGCTGGAGACCTGCACTCCCCATCACCAACATCAAAGGGCTTGACTTGATCTTCGGGCAAGACTTCCTGAAAAAATTCAACCCCGAGATCAACTGGGTGAACCGCACCGCAAGCATCTACAACAATGGACGGAGAGTACAGCTACCCAACTGGGACGATACTGGAGATATCCCAGTGGAGACACTCGCACGATTCGAGAAGGACGTGAAGCGGACCGACACCGGGTTCCTGGCGATAGCAACAGAGGTGGAGAATGACGGAGAGAAAGCCTCGGAAACTCCAGAAAAAATCAAGGAATTACTGAAGGAGTTCCAAGACATTCTTCCTGACGATCTTCCGAACGAGCTACCGCCATACCGAACACATCAACACGAGATTGTGGAGGAACCGGGTTCGAAACCGACCTTCCGAGCACCATATCGGCTCAGCCCGACAGAGCTGACCGACATGAAAAAACAAATCGAGTATCTCCTAGCCAAAGGACTCATCCGACCATCCACTTCGCCGTACGGTGCCCCAGTACTCTTCACACCGAAACCGGACGGAAGCCTGCGCATGTGCATCGACTACCGAGCCCTTAACAAGCAGACCATCAAGAATAAATATCCGATACCGCGAATCGATGACCTGCTTGACCAGCTTCCGGGAGCTACGGTATTTTCCAAACTGGATCTGCGGTCCGGATACTGGCAGATACGGATGGCGGACAACTCTATCCCCAAAACTGCTTTCCGAACTCGGTACGGATCGTACGAGTATTTGGTCATGCCGTTCGGACTCACCAACGCGCCGGCAACGTTCCAAGCCGAAATGAACCACATTCTACGACCACTTCTGGACAAATGCGTGGTGGTGTACCTGGATGACATACGCATCTACTCGCGCGACATGAAGCAGCACGTCGAACACCTGCGACGCGTCTTCGAAATTCTTCGACGGGAACGATTCTACGTCAAACTGTCCAAGAGCGAATTCGCCCTTGAAAAGGTCCAATTCCTAGGACACATGGTGAGCGCTCAAGGAGTTCACGTCGACCCCAAGAAAGTCGAAGCCGTACGTACGTGGAAGACACCCGAGAACGTGAAGGAGTTGCAGCAGTTCCTAGGCTTCGCTAATTACTACAACAGGTTCGTGCCACAGTATGCGAAACTCGCGGCACCACTCACGAATCTGCTGAAGAAGAACACGCCCTACAAATGGGAGACGAAGCACCAGGAAGCCGTGGAGCAACTGAAACAAGCACTGACATCCGCACCGGTACTCATCTTGCCAGATCCCGAACGTGACTACGTCATTGAAGCAGACGCCAGTGATCAGGCCGTGGGTGCAGTCTTAATGCAAGACCAGGGGAATGGACTGCAACCAATTGCCTACCTCAGCAAGAAACTGCACGGGGCAGAACTCAACTACCCGATACACGACAAAGAGGCTCTTGCTATCATCATCGCCTTCAAAGCGTGGAGATGCTATCTCGAAGGACGAAGAACGACCGTCTACACCGACCACTGCAGCCTGAAATATTTGAAGACACAACCCAACCTTTCCAGGCGGCAGGTCCGGTGGATCGACTTCCTCGAGACACACTTCCACTACGACATCGTGTACAAGCCCGGCCACAAGAACAAAGCAGACGCTCTCAGCCGGCCTGCACACGTTGCCGCGATTCAGGTCGAAGGGATGAATCCACTACTCAAGGGACTCTTCACCCACGGGTACGCCATCGACCCCGAAATTTCCTTGGCAGAAAAGCGACATCTGCTACAGTGGGACAGTGACATCGCGTACCGGAAAGGATCAACAAAAATCTGGGTACCCAATTACCCTCCTTTGCGCCAGTTACTACTCGAAGAATACCACGACGTCCTGTACGCCGGACACTTCGGTAGCAACAAGACGCTCACCGGTATCGCCAAACACTACTACTGGCCCCATATGGCAGACGACGTCCAGAAATTCGTCACCTCGTGTGATACATGTCAGCGGATGAAGAGCAGCAAGCAGAAAAAGGCAGGACTACTGCAGCCTCTTCCTGTCCCAGAACAACCATGGCAAGTGGTTAGCCTGGACTTCATCACCGGGTTACCACCTACCTCCAGCGGTCATGACGCCATCCTTGTCGTCATTGACAAGTTCTCCAAAATGGGACACTTCATCCCGACACACACGACGGCACGCACCGAGGAGACAGCACAGCTCTTCGTTCATCACATCATCTCACAGCATGGCATCCCAACTACACTCATCTCCGACCGAGACCCCAAGTTCACTAGCAAGTTCTGGAAGGAACTTATGTCTCTGCTCGGCACCAAACTCGCCATGTCATCCGCATACCATCCGCAGACAGACGGACAGACCGAGCGCCTCAACCAAATTGTTGAGCAACTCCTCCGAGCAGCCTGCAAGGACGACATCTCCAAATGGGACTTGCACCTGCCCGTACTCGAGTTTGCTTACAACAATGCTACACATGCCGCTACTGGACAGACGCCGTTCTTCCTCTGCTACGGACGCCACCCACTCACACCACAAAAACCGACAGCATCAGCTACAGTCCAACCCGCACATGATTTCATTACAACCATGCACCAGCTTTGGGATCGGACCCACAAGCGCCTACTCGACATTCAACAGCAACAAAAGCGCCAAGCCGATCGCCATCGCAACGATCACACCATCACGGTAGGAGACCAGGTGCTTCTTGACACCCGCAACCTGGACATCAGCCATCTCCCATCTAAACTTCGACTTCGCTTCTGCGGGCCTTTTCTCGTTGAAGCACAGGTCACTCCTGTTACCTTCCGCTTACGCCTGCCAGCTACCTGGAAGATTCACAACGCCTTCCACGTCCAACTTCTGAAGCCCTATCGGGACCCGAACACAATTTTCGTCGGATGCCAACCGCCGCCGCCACCACCCGTCCTCGTCCAGAATGAACCCGAGTACGAGGTCGAGTCCGTGCTCGCACACCGCCGTCGTCGGAATGGCACCGTGGAGCTTCTCATCCGTTGGAAGGGTTATGATCCTTCTGAGGACAGCTGGGTATCTGAGTCCGACATGGGTAACGCCCGTCGTCCTCTGCATGACTACCTTGTCAAGCAGGGTGTTACTTCTACCACCCAGCTTTGAGGGGGGGAAGTGTGAGAGTACGACCCCGTTACACCACTTGGCCTTTTCTTATTTCCTTCCCTTTTCATTTCTCGTTTTACCGCATCTTATTTGGTTTCCTATTCTTCCTTTTCCATTAACCTTTGGTTTATCCTACTATTATCATTATATCACCGACCAGGCTTGGGATGTATTGGTGTGCTCTATCTAGCGTAATCCTGCCGTAATCCCTTAAAGCCAATAGCCTCGCGTGGCTATACGCAGGGTGATTCTACCTTCTAGAAGGGTCTATTCCCTTAGGATAAGATAAACCTGGTTACCTGATGTACTCTGGAAGTATAAAAGCGCCTTGTACTGATCGATAGTGCAACTTTCCTCGACACATTCGATCCTGTGACAGTGACCCAGACGCCCTCGACATCCCGACCCCTCGCACCTACGCTGAGGCCATCTCGGGACCCTGGGCCTCTCAGTGGATAGCTGCCATGGAGCAGAAGATGGCATCTTGGAGATCCACCGGCACCTTTGTGGACGCAGTTCCCCCACCTTGGGTGAACGTAGTCGGTGGCCGGTGGCTCTTCAAGGTGAAGCGCCCTCCTGGAGAGCCGCTTATCTTCAAGGCGCGCTACGTCGCTTGAGGCTTCAGTCAGCATGAGGGGGTGGACTTCTTTCAGACCTTCGCCCCGACCTCAAAGATGACCACTCTTCGGGCGCTGCTATACGTAGCAGCACAGCGTGACTACGAGCTGCACTCCCTCGACTTCTCCACAACTTTCCTACAGGGCAGTCTACACGAGCAGGTCTACCTGCGCCGCCCCCAGGGCTTCTCCGGTACCTTCCCCCCTGACACCGAGTGGCTCCTCCGGCACCCTGTCTACGACTTGCGACAGGCCCCCCGTGAGTGGCACGACACGCTGCGTGCTACACTTGTTGACTTGCAGTTCTTCCCTTCGTCTGCAGACCCCTCGCTCTTTGTCCGTTCCGGCCAGACTGTGTTCTACATCCTTGTCTACGTAGACGGTCTAGTCTTTGCTAGTGCTGACAGAGACGCACTAGCCGCCGTGAAGGCCGAGCTGCTGAGGAGACGCACCTGCACTGACCTAGGAGAGCTGCGTCGCTATATTGGCTTGCAGATCTCCAGGGACAGAGCAGCGCGCACCATCACTCTCTCACAGTCACACCTGGTGCGCCAGGTCCTTCAGATGTTCGGCCTTCAGTTCTCTTCCGCACAGCCCACCCCTTTGTCAGTAGACCACAGACTCTCTGCCCCAATCCCAGAGGAGGCTGTAGAGCCTATTGGTCCCTACGCAGAGCTGGTGGGTTGCCTCATGTACCTAATGACTTACACTCGTCCAGATCTCGCATACCCTCTCAGCATCCTGGCTCGTTTTGTGGCCCCAGGCAGACACCGACCACAGCACTGGTCGGCAGCTAAGAGGGTTTTGCGTTATCTAGCAAGTACATCGAGCATGGGGCTAGTGCTAGGAGGACGGAGACCAGTGGTCCTTACCAGGCACACAGACGCTTCTTGGGCAGACGACGCCGAGACTCTCAGGTCCTCACAGGGCTACTCCTTTAGCCTTGGTGCAGGTGCCATCTTGTGGAGGTCCAACCGTTCCTCGTCTGTTGCCCAGTCTAGCTATGAGGCTGAGATCTACACCGGTGCCATGGCAGCACAGGAACTCCGCTGGCTGACCTTCTTTCTCACCGACTTGGGTGAGCGGCCTAGCTCTGCCCCGGTTTTGTACGCTGACAATAGGGCCATGATCCTCCTGTGTCAGGAGCCATGACTTGAGGGCAGAGCGAAGCACATCCAGCTGCGGTACTTCCTCCTGCGCTAGCTGCAGCAGCGTCGCCAGGCTCGTGTAGTACACATGGCCTCAGGTGCCAACACAGCTGATATCTTTATTAAGGCACTTGCGCCTAAAGATCATCAGCGGCACTGTGTACAGCTAGGTCTCGTTCCTGTAGCCTCTCACTTGCTAGGACCTTCATTGTGTACAAACCTTTATATATATTATCCTGACTGGCCTTGTGGCTTCTTCCCAGTGGTTGGACTAGTAGTGCCACCCTGGTCTTGCTCTTGTCTTGTCTGTACTTGTTTGATTGGTCATTAGACCCCTGCCCAGAGGCCAGACTAGTAGTGCCACCCATAGCTGTTTCTCTCTCATTGAGGTCTACCCCTATCCAGTCTAGGGGGTGTGTCAAACATATATTGTATGTTTCTATAGACTATATTGGGTTGTAGCTTAGGGAGTACAACCCATTAGGTTATATTCCCTTGTATGCCTTGTTCTATTCATTCTTTCACTTGAACAGTCCCATGATTGCCTAGTGTTACCCATTAAAAAAAAAAAATAAAAAAAAAAATCACACAGGGCTGGGACCGGTCGGGGTGCTGATTTTTCAGTGTTCGGGCTGAGTTGATGACTTTCCTATCAGGGCTACTCCAAGTTTCTTGGCTTATGTTGCCTAAGTACGAGATGTGACTAAGGGCAAATTCCTACGAAGTAGGATCAGAATCAGAAACACGAATTTCATTATTGATCTCCTTTCCTGTCTGTTACGCCAAGATCAGAAACGAGGGCAGCCGCCTCAGCGTCGCACGGGGACGTCCGATTGGCTGCTCCTACAAACACATTCGAGACAGGCCCCAACTCGCGCCAAGCAAATGAAAGCGCGCTGACGAGCGACGCGCAGTGAAACGAAAATCTAAAAAAAAACGAAAATCACATATGGCACGTAGCGGGCACAAAAACGAATTCTGTTTGTGCTTCTTCTGGCTTCGAAATCCCCTTGCTCGTGATTGGAGCGCGCACTTCCCAGTCTGGTTTGGCGTGGCGAGGATTTTACAACTGTACTGTAAACTTGCATGTTCAAGTTTGGGCAATCGAAGTGATATTTTTGTATTGAAAGGGGTGTACACGTAGGATCGTGTGAAACATCCAGGTCGCATGCGAAACTCACTTGCGATCGTTTTCTAGAATTGTTGATCTGCGCGTAGCAAAACGGCAGGATCAGGAACATTATTGATTCTGATCCTACTTCAGAGGAATTCGCCCTAAGCATGTGTCCTTGCACTTTCAAACGCACAATGCCCACTTCTAGAACATAAGCAAACCTCGCCTCTACTTTTTTTGCCTCTCTAGGTTTGACAGTAGCTTGTCACACTATTATAACTTTCTTTCTGGCCTTACTTTGGCCTCTCTATGTTTATTGCATCTCTCTAGCTCTAACAATCAAAGCTTAACGCATCTGCCACACTGCAAGGGGAGCCTAACTTGCTAGCTACTCATCTTCGTTGTCATCATCCCAACGATCCTCTGCATCGTCCCCCATGAGCTCCCCACCTTCCTCCTCCCATCTCCTCCCCTTCCTCTTCATCCTCTTTCTCCTTCCCCTTCTCGCTCTCCAATCGCTTCTTTGGCCTGGGTGCCGCTTCTTGTAACTCCGCCAGATGTCGACAACTTCCGCCTTGTGGGGCTCGTAGTCCAGCAGCGACATAGCCATCAGATCCAACAGGCGAGCATCCTTGATAGCCCCGCGCTGCCATCTCTTGATTACGTTCTGGCGTGAGAAGCCTTGTTTGCACTCCACCGTGCTCAGCGGCAGGACGGCCACCGCGATCCAGAGCTTCACCATGTTGGGGTAGGCGTCCTGCCAGTCCGGCGTCTTCAGCATTTCGGAAAGCCCAGCGTGAAAGCCTTTCTCGCACTTTGGGGCAGCAGCTCGGATGGGGCAAAAGTTGCGCAGCTCTTTGATGGCCTTGCGCTTGTCAATGCCTGACACACAGGGGAGAGCGAGGTAGGATATTAGAGGGCAAGGGTGGTGGTTCCTAGAGGCATTATTAGACCAAGATGCGACAAGGATAGTGTATTGGAGTGCGGTTATGGGGGGTGGATGGGGCATGGTATTGAGGGAAAGGGTGTAGATTCTTAGAGGCATTAGCACATCAGTGGGGGAATTTGACTTACTCGGCACTATCTCTCCGACTGCTGTGCCCATAACAGAGCCACAAGAGACATCAGGTGCTCGAGGCAGAGGGCATTGCGCTCCTGCCAGCCCAGCGGCCAGTCCTCCAAGATGAAAAGGCGGCAGCCAGACAGTGAGTCCAGATCGCCTGGCCGGTCAAGAAAATTGCCGACCATCGCCTCAGCCATTGCCGTGCAGAGATCCACGATGTCGTCGTAGCTGTCGATGGGATCATCATGAAACAGGTACGTGTGCGTTGAGGGGCGGCCGTCGGCGTCAACCCCTTGGACTGAACGGCGACGTAGTCAATCTGCAGCAAGGCAAGACAAGCGGGAGAGATTCATGAGTAGAGGGTGATCGTGTGTGTAGAATGTTTAATTTCGTTTTGGGTTAAGTCGAAAGGCGTATGTGTAGAAAGGCTCACCTGCCGCTACTGGAACGTCTTGTTCAAGATGTTCGGTTGCTCAAGCAGATCGGCAAGGAACAGAAGCAGAAACTGGAACATGTAGCTAGTGGCCATCTTGTACATCCTCATGTCACCAAGCTCATGCAGCATAAAATGATACCTGGCAAAACGGCCACCAACCTCAGGACGGCCTCACCGCGAGAGAGCCGGCGGACGTTGAAGATGCCTTGCAGCTCGAGACTCGTCTGGCAAAACGTTTCTTGGAGGTCCAAGAAGCACTGGTGCCACGGGCCCGACCGACCGAGAAACTCCGCCAACCACCGGGTGAAAGCATCCACCATTCCGAACTGCGGCAAAGAGTCTGCCGCATCCTTGGCCGCCAGCGCTTCCCTGCATACATCCCAAAAACTATGGGGTGAATTAGATACTGTGTAAATAGAACATTGACGAACAACATTAGGGGAATTTCATAGATCCCTCGACTTAAGTCATACCTGTGAGCAATACAGTGGCAGGAGACCAAATGACGAATGCGGGTGCGTAGCCTTGCCACAAGACCATTCCGAACACCTGTAATCACTGCAGCTCCATCTGTGTTGATGCCGGTAATGCGGTTGAGGTCGATGCCGATGGCTCCCAGGTACGACAGAAGCAAGGCGAGGAGAGAGGCTGCATCAGCTCGGTCGACGGTCAGGAGGGTGAGAAACTCTGTAACCACTACACCGTTCTTGACGAAGGTTGCGTAGACAATGAGGTGCTTCCCGCGGCACCGATCCGTGGACTCATCGCAGCTTAGACCGAGGTAGGGACGGGCTCGAATGTGGTCCATCTGTGTTGTCCCAAGCCATGTCGTGGTTGCCTGGGTGAATTCTCCAAAGCCGTACCTGCATGGCAATCCCAAGATGTATAAATTAGACGGCCCAAGGCAGTTAAGACATATTCAACAAGGTGCATAGAGCTGGTAATGGTAAAAAAGCATTAGCAAAATGCTTACGCGCTGTAGTAGCTGCCGTAGGCTTTCTTGGGAAAGCCATGCACTCCCCTCTTTGCCAGATACTTCACCAGCCGAACCCACGCCTCCATGGGCTCATTGCTCTGGCAGTTGAACAGCAGCGCGTCCAGCAGAGCCATGGCGCGCTCCTTCTCCACGTCCACAGCTGCATGATGGTGGTCAATGTGTGGTTGCCGCGTTGCCGCTTGAAGGAGATTGTTCTGCCGCTGCATCGCGAGCTTGTGCTTGTTGGTGGCGGCATGGCGTTTGAATGCTTGCGATTGGACGTCAGTCGCACCCTTCCCCTTGCGGCCGCATTTCCCATTGTCCCCTGCATGTTCTGAGCAGACGCTGCACTTGAACGCAGGGAATCCACCACGGGTCTTAGTCAGGATTAGCCAAGGATAGCGCTCCTACCACAGTGTTTTGTACTTATCGAGAGCATCAGAGTACAAAACTTCAATAAGATTCAGAGTTGGTGATGAGGGAGCAGCGGTGGACTCTGTCCCAGCAGAGTTTGTGGGGGGCTGGGGAGGTGATGTAGAGACGAACGGCAGTGTCTCCTGTCGGTAGTGAGCCGCTCTCACCGTGGTGCCCGCGCTAGACTCGGGCCGGTCCGCCGGCGTCGAAGCCGGCTGCGCTCGACACGCCTCGATGCAGCGGCGCTGGACTCGGGCCGGTCCATAGGGGTCGGCCCCGATGGCGTGCACCGCTCGGCACGCCTCTACGCAGCGACGCTTGACTCAGGTACGATGCATCCGGGAGGCTGCACAGGAGCGCTGCTCCTTGAACGCCACGGTGGTAGTCCAGTCTTTGGCGAGCCTTCTGACGCCGTGACTGAAGGATCCTCCGCACGGACCGACACAGGATCAGGGAGCGGTTGGGTCTCCCGTTGCGCGGAAGCAATGGGAGACGGGGCAGGATTGATCACCTTGGTAGGTGCTATGGTACTCTGGGAGACCTCCTGACCTAGCGAGGGAGGACAAGACTCGGGCAGTGGGGCAGAGCTAGACGTCACTGCAGGTTGTACTGGGAGCGACTTAGCAGAAGGTGTGACTGACGCAAGCAGTTAGTGCAACGCGGAGTGCGGCTCTGGTGGTTCATCGCCAGCCATAGCTCCGTCATTGGGACAGTTCCCCCCAGTGGCAGCCATGGCGAGAGCTGGCTGGGCAGGGTGTGAGTGAAACGGCAGCCGTAGCTGCCGAGGTGTAGGAGAAGCTGCTAGTGTGCTTCATGATTGGGGATAGGCAGAGATTCGACAATCCCCTGGTTATGCTAGCTGCAGACCAGGGGACTGTACTCGATGGTGGGGCGACGCTTTGGTACACGACTGAGAAGGTCCCCTGGTTCGGGGCGCGTGATACTTTCAACGCCAGATTCACTGCGTGCGTCGTAGCGCGAGGCCAGCGCATATGCCTGTATCTCGTGCTGCCTGTTTCTCAGAGGCCTTGACGCAATGATTTCGTCAAGTGCCAATGGGAGACACTTCCTGCGGAATGCTGTCGACAGCGCGACAGCATCCGGCAAGATTCGCATCGCGCCCTGGCACTGCTACAAAATTCATGCCGTGACTGACAGGGGGGGGTGGGCGGAGGAGGGGGTGAGATTCACAGCGCCGACACCTAGAAATTTCCGTAATCACAGTTCTTTTTTTCAGTGTCGATACGCGATTATGGGCTGTGGCCTCAGTGTCGGCTATCTAAAACACTCTGAAAATTCAGACTCTTACACAGAAAAAATACTTTTCCAACAGGGTGGTAGGCCCTACAAAAACTCTCATCAGGGTGTGTACATGAAAGGAAGGACTCTGAAAAAAAGCGTAATCAGGAAAAAAATCCTGATATCGTGGGGCCTGGACAGGCTGCAAGTGCACGCTAGAGAATGTTGCTGCTTTGGACCAATGCCAAGCTTGTTGTGAGTGACACATGGTGGCATGCTGTGGCATGATTATCCAAATTATAATGGTGGCATGCTGTTGCTAGAGGGGAATATTGCTGCTGCTCTGGGTGCAAATGCTCTGGGTACAAATATAATGCTGTTGCGAACTGCGTCACACCTGAACTACGTACATGGTGGCATGCTCTGGCATGATCTAATACACTTCTGAGGCCAGATTGGGTACTGCGAACAGCACGAGTAGATCACAAGTCCATGGGTGCACCTTGGTTCTTGTGCGTGAGCCAGAGAGGCACTGTACTGTACTGGGTTGTACACAGTAGTTCACGCCGTCTACAAGGACAGAAAGGCTACACTTTTTTAGTCAATGCACAAGCCCGCCCTCACTGCCGCGTGTTGCTCTCACAAAGCACCCTCGCTTCACCGTCTCTTGTACCTGCCAGAGGAAAAACCAAGGGCAAATGGGGCCAAGATAGAGATCCGCACGTGCATGAGGGAAGGTTCTAGAGAAATGGGAGCAGGCAGAACAAGTTGAGTCGCAACTTGAAGTTGCAAGGGGGGCGCAGAAAGCAACGGGAGAGACACAGTGAGCAATGGGGCACACAGCAACAAGGGTCCTAGCAGCAGCAATGACAGACTCACCGTTTCTTGCTCTTGAATGAGCCGCCAGCCTTCCCCCTCCCCTTCGCTTCCCCCCCTGCCCCTCCCCCTGCCCCTCCCCCTCCCTTCCCCTTCGCCACATCTGCCTGAAACAAATCCTTCATCTCTCGGGATCGGGACGGGGTGTGCTGCTTCGGTTTCTTCGCAGCTGCCCGCCCGCCCGCCTTGGGCAGGCTGACAATCTTTCCAGCTGCCCGGAGCCGCTCGGCCGACTTGATCGCCTTGGCTTTGCGATAGGCGAGATCGGCTATCGACTTTTTAGGCTTGGCGTTACGAGATCCGCTTGCGGAAGGGGATGAGGGTTCGTCCAGCCCAAACTCTTGAGCTTCCGCCTCCTCCTCTTGCGCTGCTCGCTCTGCCTCTAGCTTGCGGCGCTTCTTTCTAGGAAGGCTCTTCTGCAAGGGGGGGTGGAGGGAACAGGGAATTGGGGATGGCACGGGGTGAAGGAGAGGAGAGTGAGAGTGGAGGGGGATGAGGGTTCGTCCAGCCCAAACTCCTAGGCTTCCTCCTCCTCTTCTTGTGCCTGCCGCTCTGCCTCTAGCTTGCGGCGTTTCTTCCTTGGAAGGCGCTTCTGCCGGAAAACGGGAGAGGGAGGGGGGAGAGAAGAGGGGGAGAGTGGGGGTGGGGGAGGGAGGGGGACAGGGCAGAAGGGAAGGAACGACAGGTGGAGGGTGTTGTGAGGCGCAGCACAGAAGAGAAGAGATAGCACGGATAACACTGGTGACACTGATAAGTACGAAAAGGAGCGCTTTCCAAGATGACTTTTGAGTTGACTCAAAAGATAACAGAGATAACACTGGTGACACCAATAAGTGCGAAAAGGAGCGCTTTCCAAAATCCAAGCAACTAAAGCAGGGACAGGCTAGTTCCCAATCCACTCAGTTGTGGGCCAGCTTTTACTCCCAGCTCTCACCTCCCTCTGCTCCTTCATCTTCTCCTTCCAAGGGGACTTTTGATTTGACTTAGAAGCGAATCATGGACCAACTTATACTTGCAACTCTCACCTCCCTCTGCTCCTTCATCTTCTCCTTCCTCCTCTTCTCCTGAACCTCTTCCAGCGATAGCACCCTCCCTTACCTTGGGGCTTGTTCCCACCCCACACACTCAACCATGGGCAAAGCTCTTCGTTCCAACGCTCACTCACACACGCTCCTGTCCACTCACCTCCCTCTGCTTCTTCATCTTCTCCTTCCTCCTCTTCTCCTGAACCTCCTCCATTGACATCACCTTCCCTCCTCCCTTCCCTCCCTTCTTCCCACTGCCTCCCTCCCCCTCCTCTGTCTCGGCGTCTGCTGCAGCCTTAGCCGCCTCAGCCACGGCCTCCTTCTCCCGCTTGCTCTGAAACCACGTGCGCTTGGGCTTGGCGAATATCTCATCCCTGTGAGTCAGCATGTTCTCAGCCTGGCGTGCGTGTGTGCGGGGGGAGGTAGCAAGACATATTGCGAAGCGGCATAAGAGATTAGGCTTTGGGTTGTGCAACAAGTCCCACTTCCGCCCTCCTCCCCTCCTCCTCCTCTGTCTCGGGGTCTGCAGCAGCCTTAGCTGCCTCAGCCACGGGCTCCTTCTCCCGCTTGCTCTGAAACCACGTGCGCTTGGGTTTGGCGGATATCTCGTCCCTGTGAGTCAAAATGTTCTCAGCCTGACGTGGGGGGGGGAGGAGGGGATTTTTGAGTCGACTAAAAAATCGACTCATTACACACAGATATCTCGTCCCTGTGAGTCAAAATGTTCTCAGCCTGACGTGCGTGTGTGGGGGGGGAGGAGGGGGGGCGGGGGCGATTTTTTAGGCGCCTCAAAAATTGACGTGGGGGGGGGAGGAGGGGGGGCGGGGGGGAAGGGAGCGGAGAGGTGAGAAGGAACGAGGTTGGAAGTTGGAACCACGTGCGCTTGCGCTTAGAAAAAAAATCTTGTCGCAGTCAGTCAGCATGTTCTCAGCCTGGGGTGGGGGGGGGGAAAGCATGAGAAGTAAAGATGTGGAGTAAAAGACCTTTCCTTTCAACCCCACTTTCCCCACTTTTTGAAAGAGACACGAAGACACAGACCCACCCACCTTCACTGCTTCCATCTCTGCTTTCCGCAGCACCCGCTCCTCCCGCTCCTGCTTCATCACTGCAGCCACGTCCCTCTCCATGCCCTCGATGCGCTGTTGCCATCGCTCCACCGCCGCCTGCGCTATCTGCCGCTGCTTCAGCTTCCTGCCCGCCCTTCGGGTCTGTGGTAGAAAAGCGTGGGAGCAGGATGCAGGTGGAGAAACAGGGTTACTCCAACACTGCAGCTGCATCCCTCCCCATACCCTCGATTCGCTGCTGCCATCGCTCCACCGCCGCCTGAGCAATCTGCCGCTGCTTCAGCTTCCTGCCCGCCCTTGGGGTCTGTGAGAAGTAAGAATGTGTGTGAGTGAGAACGAGGAAGGGGAAAAAAGACTAGGCATATACCGCACTACTCTCTTCTCCCTCTCTTTAACCCTCCTCTCTCCCCCCTTCCCCCCTCTCCTCCCCTCTCTCTACCCCCCAACATCCATCACCATTGCTTTGAGCAGCTTCCTGTCTTTCTCCCCAACAAACGTCACTGCCAATCCAATCTTCCCTGCTCCATTCCTCCCCTCTTCACGCCGCCAATCCTACTGTACCTTCCCCCCTCCTACCCGCCTCCCTCTCAGCCCTCTCCCTCCCTCTCCCTCCCTCTTCCGCCCTCTCTCCCTCACCATTGCTTTCAGCAGCTTCCTGTCGTTCTCCCCCACAAACGTCACTGCCGACCCGAGCTTCCCTGCTCGTGCCATCCTGTCCCCCCTCGTTCCACCTCGCTGCACCAGTCCCAACCCCCTCTTTATACCTCACCCTTCTCACCCCTATCCCCCCATTTCCCTCTCTCTCTATCCCCCCATTTCCCTCTCTCTCTATCTCACCATTGCTTTCAGCAGCTTCCTGTCTTTCTCCCCAACAAACGTCACTGCTGATCCTAGCTTCCCTGCTCGGGCCGTCCGCCCCACACGGTGGACGTAGCTGGAGAGGGAAAGAGGCGGGGGATGGGAGAGGGGAGAGGGGAGAGAGAGGGGAAGAGAAAAGAGGAAAGTTGCACGACCGAAAGAAGGGCGGGGTTTAGACAAGGGAGGTCTAGAGCAATCTCAGCCGCTAAGCTTTGACGGGGGAGTGGGGAGTGGAGGGTAAGGACAACGAAAGAGTGTAAGGAAGTGGACAGCAGCAGAACAGAACGGAAGTTGAGGGAAGGACAGCTAGCTCACTTGGCTTGGTGAGTTCTTGTGGCGGCGTGTGGTTGGCAGTTGATGATGACTGTGTGCGTGAAATTGTTGCGAGATGACGTTTGAGTTGACTCACAAAACATTTTGGAAGTCGAGGGAAAGACAGCTAGCTCACTTGGTGATTTCCCGTGGCGTGTGGTAGTTGATGACTGTTTGCACGCCAGATATGTCGAGACCCTGAATGTGGAGTACAAGGGAGCAACGAGGGACATGGGGAGGACAACATAAAGGAAATGTTTAGAAGGACACAGGACGCAGGATGGGACAATTTTTGAGGCGCCTCAAAGAAGGACGCAGGATGGGACAATTTTTGAATTCCTTGGACAAAGGACACAGGATGGGACAAGGCATTGAAGGAAAAAAGAAAGGAAGGGGACGGCTTGGAGGCAAAGGAGTATCCTGAACGTTCCAATGTATCGCAGACGGTAAGGCGTAAGGAACGGCTGAAAGTATATATGGCGCCCACTCACCCTTGCAGCCACGTCAGTGGCAATCAAGAAGTCCACGTCGTGTGTGCGGAACTTTTCCAATGCCTGCCAGCCACGTGCACACACACATGCAGAACAAGACAACAGGAGCAAGTCTTGCACCCATTGCAATCAGGCACCAGCACCAAATACACTCACATCCTCTACAAACACATCCCCTTCTCCTTTCATGCACATCCACTCCAGTCACATCCCCTTCTGCATCCACTCACATCCATTACAATCAACACCCCCCCCCACTCCCTCCCCCTCCTTGATTCCACTCACATCCACAGTCTCATGGCCTGGAAGAGGTTCCCGTATAACTCTGCCGCCCGCCAGCTAAGCAAGTCTCCCTTGCACCCATTGCAATCAGGAACTACTAGCACCGAATGCACTCACACCCCCCTCTTTGATTCCACTCACATCCAGTCTCATAGCCTGGGTAAGGTTCCCGTGTAGCTCTGCTGCCCGCCAGCCAAGCAGGCCGAATAAGATCTTCAGCCGATGCGCCTCGATCTTGCGACCGCTGCACACAGACAAAAAACATAGCCGCAAACAGGGAGCCACGTCAGCACATGCTGCGACGTCAGCAAATGTTACACATGCCACATCCAGAAAGAATTATCCCCTCTCACTCACCATCTTTTGACGACTTTTGAGTCGACTCAAATTCCCTCACACAACCTTTGCCCAACAAAACCACTCACCTGAATACTATCACACCACCACCCCCTTTTACGATGCTCCTCTTGTTCCCTTCCCTTCCCCCACTTCCCCTCCCCCCCTCCCCTCCCTCCGAGCCTCCTTCCGAGCCTCCTTCCGAGCCTGCACTGGCAGCCTGGCCGAGCCTGGAGCATACAGCCAGCAGCATGGCCTCCCTGTCCGCCTCTTGAGACGATCGCACCCGCACCACCCTGAAGAGTCGAGGCGCGGGGGAGGGGGGGAGAGAAGGGAGAAGCGGGGAGGCTAATATGAGGGAGGATAATGAGGGGAGGGGATAGCAAGTTGGGGAGTGAGGCAGCATGGGGTTTGGAGCACATGGGGCAGACAGCAAGCAGCATGGGGCTGAAAGCCAAACAGCCCGGTTAAGAAACAGGCAGGCTTAGAGACAGGCATGTTCAGAGACAGGCCAACTAGCTCCAGCCCTCCCTCCCCCTCTCCGCCCCCCGCCCACCTTCAAAAGCAACTCACTCTTCCTCCAGGGTGCGCAGTCGCTGCATGGAGGCATCGGCTGACAGCCGAACCGGCAGGTTGAGAGAGAGGCTTGCCAGCTGTCCCTCACTCACTCCCCCCCACCCAACCCCCCCCCTGCACTCACTCTCCCGTTTCCCTCCCCCTCTCTCCCACCCACTCCCCAACTCACTCTTCCTCCAGGGTGCGCGGTCGCCGCATGGAGGCATCAGGCGACAGCCAGACAGACTCGCCAGCTGCTTCCCCTCACTCACTCCCATCCCCACCCCCTCTGCACTCAATCTCCCGCTTCCCCAACTCACTCTTCCTCCAGGGTGCCCAGTCGCCGCATGGAGGCATCAGGCGACAGCCGGACTGGGAGGTTGAGAGAAAGACTCGCCAGCTGCTGCACCTTGCCCCACCCACTCTTTCTCCCGGCTCCCCCCCTTCCCCCCCCCCCCCCCCCCCTTCTCACCCACTCTTCCTCCAGGGTGCGCGGTCGCTGCATGTAAGCATCGGCTGACAGCCGGACCGGCAGGTTGAGTGACAGACTCGCCAGCTGTCCCTCAATCACTCCCCCTACCCTCCCCTTGGACTCACTCTCCCGCTTCCCTCTCCTTCTTCCCCCCCCTCCACTCTCCAACTCACTCTTCCTCCAGGGTGCGCGGTCGCTGCATGGAGGCATCGGCCGACAGCCGAACCGGCAGGTTAAGAGACAGGCTCGCCAACTGCTGCACCTCGGTGCTCATGGTGGCTGAGAAGAGCAGGGTTTGGCGACGCTTGGGGCACACACGGACCTGATGGGGGTTCAAGTGGTGGGGAGGGGAGGGAAGGGAGGAGGGCACTGAGTGACAGGCTCGCCAGCTGCTGCACCTCGGTGCTCCTAGTGGCTGAGAAGAGGATTTGACAACGCTTGGGGCACACACGGACGGACCTGATGGGGGTTCAAGTGGTGGGGAGGGGAGGGAAGGGAGGAGAGCTTTGTGAGATAGACTCGCCAGAGGCTGCACCTCGGTGCTCGTAGTGGCCGGAAAGAGTAGTGCCTGGCAGCGCTTGGAGCACACGCCGAACACTTACTGTTTCAACACTTACCTTGTCAACACATACATCTCGGGCAATCAAGCAACTCCTATCTCCATCACCTCCTCCTGGAACCCCAGCTGCAGCAGCCTGTCAGCCTGGTCCACAACACAGCATCAAATCTCCTACCAGCTGCTGATTCAGGCAGCCCGTGCTGTTTCAGGCAGCGCTTACTATTTCCACGGCTTCCTCCCTGGAACCCCAGCCTCGCCCACGACCAGATTAGCAAGGTCGTTCGTTTAAACCACCCTTCAGCTTTCCATTTCAGGCAGCACTTACTATTTCCATCACTTCTTCCAGGAAACCCAGCTGCAGCAGCCGGCCCACCTCGCTCAGCACCAGGATGGCAAAGCAAGGCCTCTTGTATAGCTCTTGCCCAGTTCAAGCAACTTGCTTAATCAGGTACCACTCACCACATCACCAAGCACTTACTATCTCCATCACATCCTCCTGAAACCCCAGCTGCAGCAGCCGGTCCGCCTCGGCCAGCACCAACAAGAGCGTTCAGGTAGCTCTCACCAAGTCAGGTAACTCGCACATGTAACCAGCACTAACAATTTAAGGACGCACTTTCTACATTAAGCAACACTTACTATCTCCATCACTTCTTCCTGGAACCCCAGCTGCAGCAGCCTGTCAGCCTCGTCCAGCACCAGGATGGCAAGGTCGTTCAGGTCCACGCTCTGGCTGTTCTGGAGGTGGTCAACGAGTCTAAGTGGTGGGAAGAAAGGGAATGGAAGGACCAAAGAGGCAAGGTCGTTCAGGTCCACGCTCTGGCTGTTCTGCAGATGGTCAACGAGTCTGAGAAGACAGGAGCGACCGGGGGGAGCGAGGGGGGAGGGACGGGCACAGACGGTCACTGAGAAGCCCTGTCCAACACCAAAGAGACAAGATCGTTCAAGTCGACGCTCCGGCTGTTCTGCAGGAGATCCCTTAGGCATAAGCGTTAAGCTCTTTTCCTCTTCGCTGCTGTTCATCCTAACGCTTTTGGCTCCGGCTGTTCTGCAGGAGTCTATTTTTTAGGCGCCTCAAAAATAGACTCTTCGCTGCTGCTCATCCTGCTGCTCATCCTGCTGCTCCATCTCAGTGACATCTCCTGGTTTTTAATGAACAGCCCTCCGACCACCCCTTCTCCTCATCCCCCTCCCACCCCCCCCCTCCCCCCCTATTTTCCTCCTCACCCACCCCCCTACTCCCCCTCACCTGCCCGGAGTGGCAACAACGATGTCAGGCCTTGAGCGCAGCGCCACCTCCTGGTTCTTGATCGACAGTCCGCCGACCACGAGGCCGCAGCGGATGTCAGTGAACTGGGCTAGCTTCTCCACCATGCTGTGGACCCTGTTTTGGGAAGGAGGGGAAGAAGGGAAGGAGGGGAAGAAGGGGAGGAGAAGGGGGGCGGGAGCGAGGAGAAGGTGCAGCTGATGTCGTGAATTGAGGTAGCTTCTCCATCATGCTGTTTATTCTGGGCGACTTTTGAGTCGTCTCAAAAGTCATCATGCTGTGTATTCTGGGCGACTTTGATCACTCCATCATGCTGTGTACCCTGGTCGACTAGTCATCATGCTGTGTATTCTGTGAGAGTAGGGGACAGAGTAGGGAGAGTAGCTTCTCCATCATGCTGTGTACCCTGTGAGAGTAGGGGACAGGGAGACGGCGAGGGGAGGGGGGAGGGGGGGAGGTGACTTTTGAGTCGACTCAAAAGTCTTCTCCATCATGCTGTGCACCCTGTGAGAGTAGGGGACAGGGAGACGGCGAGGGAAGGGGGGAGGGGGGGAGAAAGGGCTGGGTCAGGGCAACGAGCCCACACCGAGGGGATGCTCGGTGAACTGAGAGATAGTTTTTTCACTGTCATGCTGTGCACCCCCAGCTCACAAGAAGTCTATTTTTTAGTCGACTCAAAAACCCAGCTCACAAGAACTCTATTTTTGAGGCGCCTCAAAAATAGACTCCTCACGCTTTTGAGGCGCCTCAAAAATAGACTCCTCACTCATGCTGTGCACCCTGTCACAAGAGACGATTTTTGAGGCGCCAAAAAAAAATCTTTTTTTTTTAAGGCCCCTAAAAAAAATCAAAAAAAATCCATCATGCTCTGTACCCTGTCACAAGAAGTCTAGTTTTGAGGCGCCTCAAAACTTTTTTCCATCATCCTGTGTACCCTGTCACAAGAGAGCAAGGCTCTGTCTGCACGCCCAGCTCCCTGTTGGGGGTGAGCATGAGTAGTCGAGTGGCCGCCACTCACTTGGGGCGAAAGGGAAGTGCATGTGTCTAAACCCAATCTCAAACCCCCCTCCCCTACCCCGACCCTGAGTATCACTCACTGCACGGCCAGCTCTCTTGTGGGGGTGAGCACGAGAACTCGGGTGGCCGCCACCCGCTTGGGGCGAAAGAGAAGGCGCTCCAAGATGGGCAGCGAGAAGGCTGCCGTCTGAGAGAAGCGGGAGGGCAACGCAGGGAAGTGCAAGGGGGAATGCAGCACTGGTTGGCAAAGGAGTGGCCGCCACCCGCTTGGGGCGAAAGAGAAGGCGCTCCACAATGGGCAGCGAGAAGGCTGCCGTCTGAGGGGGGGAGAGAGAGAGAAAGGGATGGGAATGGGGGGGCGAGAAACGAAAGGATATAGCACAAGGAAAGCAAAGGCGTTCCAAAATAGGCAGAGAGAAGGCTGTGATCTGAGCGTGGGGAGGGGGGATAGCAGGCAGGGAGAACACTGATGGGAGGTGAGGCAGGGAAAGTAAGGAGGAGAGAAGACGCAGGGAAAGTAAAGAGGAGAGAAGACGCAGGGAAAGTAAGGAGGAGAGAAGACGCAGGGAAAGTAAAGAGGAGAGAAGACGCAGGGAAAGTAAGGAGGAGAGAAGACGCAGGGAGGAATGGTGCAAGAGGAGGCATACATGCAGGGAGCTATGTAGGAGGAGGCATACATGCAGGGAGCTATGTAGGAGGAGGCATACATGCAGGGAGCTATGTAGGAGGAGGCATACATGCAGGGAGCTATGAAGGAGGAGGCAAACATGCAGGGAGCTATGTAGGAGGAGGCATACATGCAGGGAGCTATGTAGGAGGAGGCATACATGCCTGAATGGAGGAGGGCTTGTCATACCAACCAGACAGTGGGCATGGATGGGTGTGGGCTTGTCATAACCCAGTGCAGCACGTGCGTGTGGTGGCGCACATTGCAATGTGAACACCTAAACTCAACCCAACCCATCACTGGCTGTCTGCCGCAAACAGACAGCCAGTGATGGCGCTGCCGCAGATGTCCCTCCCTGCCATCGCCAAGGGAATGCACGCGGCCTGGATGGGCGTGGGCTTGTCGTACCCCAAGGCTAAGTTGGAATATACGCGTATTGCGTTTTATACGAAAGCTTTTATACGAGAGCGTATAAACGCAATATGCTTAGGAGGAGGGTTTAGTACTGGTTGCCTCAGCAGATGGGGGAGAGGGCGATGCTGTAGTTCTGGAAGTCATGGTGGCGCGCAAGCTACGGTAGAAAGGGAACTGCGAGAATGAGTATCGAATGTTGAAATGGCAGTAATTTATGCTAGGAGAGCTGACTCTGTTTGAGGTCAACTCGTCTCAAGGAGGAGTTGGGAGGGATTGGGAAGTGACGAGGTGGAGAGGGGTGGACAGAGGTTCGAAGGGGGGGTTGGTGGGGTTAGGGTTCGAAATTTGAACTCGAAGTTGAGTCCGCGCGATGTGCGAAGGCGAGAATATTTTTCGCCGAGTCGCAAAATGTCGTAATTTTTTGGGTTTTTTTTTCCGGTCAGCCCGTGCGTATTTCGGCGTATCTAGACCAAAAACGCAGCGTACGTATTTTCTATGCGTTTAAACGCAATACGGAATAAAAAATGAGCGTTTTTTCCAACTTAGCCCCAAGGCAGCGCACGCCCTCAGCAGCGGCCGCGACAGCTGCAGCTCTGAGAACGACGCCACTGAGACCAACCAGCTCAACGCACCTTGCCAGAGCCAGTGATGGCACTGCCGCAGATGTCCCTCCCTGCCATCGCCAAGGGAACGCACGCGGCCTGGATGGGCGTGGGCTTGTCGTACCCCAAGGCAGCGCACGCCCTCAGCAGCGGCCGCGACAGCTGCAGCTCTGAGAACGACGCCGCTGAGAACCGCGCCCCTGCCTCCTCCGCACCCTCGAAATACACCCCTCCGCCTGCCCCTTTCCCCCCTTCCTCCCCACCTGCTCCTGCCTCTTTTCTGGTGCTGCTCTTGTCGCTCCTGCTCCTCTCATCCTTGCTCTTGCCTTTGGTGTCGTTCGTCTTGGCAAGGACTTCCTTGTCACGTTTCTGAAGGACAAGAGCGGCAAGGATGAGGGCGAGGAAACTGTATTTGAGGCGCCTTAAAAACAGACACCCGCAGCAGCACTGCTCTTGTCGCTTCTGCTGCTCCTCTCATCCTTGCTCGTGCCTTTGGTGTGGTTCGTCTGGGCAGGGACGTCCTTGATGCGCTTCTGAAGGACACGAGCGGAAAGGAAGGGGGAGAGGGAAGGGAAAGAGGAACAAAGAGGGTGGGGAAACAGCTGTTGAGGCGCCTAAAAAACAGACATCCCCAGTTGGTGCTTGCCTTTGGTGTCGTTTGTCTTGGCAAGGATGTCCTTGATGCGCATCTGAAGGACACGAGCGGCAAGGAAGGGACACGAGAGCGTGGGGAAAGGGAGACGAGAGGAGGAGGGTGAGGGAAGGAAAAGGGGAGGAGGAGGGTGGGGGAAGGAAAAGGGGAGGAGGAGGGTGGGGGGGGGGGGAGGAGGGTGGGGGAAGGAAAAGGGGAGGAGGAGGGTGGGGGAAGGAAAAGGGGAGGAGGAGGGTGGGGGAAGGAAAAGGGGAGGAGGAGGGTGGGGGAAGGAAAAGGGGAGGAGGAGGGTGGGGGAAGGAAAAGGGGAGGAGGAGGGTGGGGGAGGAAAAGGGGAGGAGGAGGGTGGGGGATATATATGAAAAAGGAAAGCGAAGGATGAAGAAAATACCCCTGTTTCATATAACCCTGTTTCATATAACCCTGTTTCATATAACCCTGTTTCATATAACCCTGTATTGAGGAGTCTATTTTAGAGGCGCCTCAAAAATAGACTCCCCTGTTTCGGAATGAACCTGAAACACGGATCCACCTCAGGTGCTCTCAGGGTGCATGGCTTGGGAAGAACGTCAAGCTCCGATTGTGGACCTGTGGTTAGTGACACCGACACCAGTAAATGCAGTTACCCCCCTTTGCTGTCTCTTCTAATCTAATGAACCCTGGAACCGCCAAATTCGTGTGGAAAGAAAAAAACGGCAGTTATAAACCCTGGCGCCCTGCGTCATGCGTCGTAAACCTTAAACCCTCCCTCCTTCCATGCAGGGATTTGGCTTTTAACACTGTTAGTTGTTTTTTTGCGGTTTTAGGCGCGATACAAGGGCGTGATCCCTGCAAAAGCCCACCGAGAAACTTGGAAGTAGATGCTGACCTCTACTGACGATCTATTGCAGAGTTGGTGGGTTTTAAACCCCGCACCCCCCCTCCTCCCCTAAAAAAATATCAAACTCCTGACAGTTTATCGTCATTGACTACCCCGGCCCCAAAGCCATCCCCACGCACCTTCGCCTACAGAGGAGTATTTTTTTAGAATTCTAAAGAAATAACAAACTACTGACAGTTCATCGTCGTTGCCTACCCTGGCCCCGAAGCCACCACGCACCTCCGCTTTTGTATGCCTGAGGCTTGCCTCTTCGTCCTCCTCCTCGCTCCCACCCTCATCATCTTCGTCGTCCTCCTCCTCCTCCTCTTCCTCTTCCTCCTCTTCCTCCTCCTCTTCTAACTCCTCCTCCTCCTCCTCCTCAACTTCCTCCTCACCATCAATCTCCTCCTCATCCTCCTCCTCTTCCTCCTCTTCTTCCTCCTCCTCTTCTTCCTCCTCCTCTTCCTCCTCCTCCTCCTCTTCTTCCTCCTCCTCCTCTTCCTCCTCCTCCTCCTCTTCTTCCTCCTCCTCCTCTTCCTCCTCATCTTCCTCTTCCTCCACTTTTCGCCCTCTTTTCGTCCTTCCCACTCCTTTCCGCCCCTTCCCCTCATCCGCAAAACCCATCGCTCTCCGCCGTCGGATCATCTCAATCTTGGTGTCAATCGACGTCGTATGTCGCTCCTTAAACTCCTCCTCCAGAGTCTTCCCCGCGCCTTTGAAGTCCCACGCCGCCACCACCCCTCCATCCTCGTTATCGTCATCCGCGTCAAAACGAAACAGCGGATCCATTCGCCCCATCGCTTTCTACGCAGAAAAACGAGTAGAGTGAACGCTGCAGATTCAGTCAAACGATAAGACGAATAGCTTGACCAAGCATTATCCGACAAAGCATCGACGAATGGCTACGTTTCAAAGTTAATTCACTCGAAAGCTCGGAATGGCGTTTGCGTGCACACTCTTATCCACTTCGGCCTTTCAACTGCCCGCCCCAGAAAAACGAACGCACGGCACTAGCGAGCAACGAGCCTGCGAGAATTCTGCCACAGAATACTATCTACGGAACGCCATATCTTTCTACCGAAGCTTGGATCAGGAGAAAAGGAGCTGGGCGAACGCCAAGAGTTTCTGGCGGAACTTTCAAGGGTTTCCTCCCTGAGTTCGATCTCCGATATGATTATGAATCCTTGAGAAGCTATAATAATCAACAAGAAGCATACTAACGCAAAAAACAATCAGGGTAAAGTAAGTGTCATGAAGTCACCAATCCTAACCACTGGGTCTGGAGAGATCTCATTAGGAGAGTTAGGATATATATATGCACCTTCCGCAGGGAAAGCCTCCCTAGTACCCTCCCTAGAGAGGAGGTTAGACAGGACTATCCCAGTGCCACTACAGCATGATGCGTCATATAACTGATTCAAGATAACACAGTCATATGCAACCCCTAACCCCTAAAAAACATTCATGCAAATGCCTTGCAAACCCCACTTCCTCCTGCCCAATATGGCTGGAAGATTCCTACGTTACACACCGACCTTGGTCGAATCTCGGTCTGCCCGAAGTATTCATCGCTGTTGCCCTCGACCATAATCTAAGTCCCACCACCACCAATGCCGAAAAACATTCAACCAACCAAGCCAAGAGTTCTATGCAAACCCCTCTTGTAGTCCAAAAAACATGAGACTGCAAGACTCATGTGACACGTTCCGAGGCACAGCACAACACCCAAAGTTGGTTGGGAGTCCCACCAAGATTCCCTTGTCACGGCACCTAACAACCAAACAAAACGCACCCACCACCATCCCTAAGTCACTCGGGCGACGGACGGCTCATGAAATCGATGTCTTCGCCAGCTCAGCTTCCAGCTCCTCCAGCTCCTCGGGTGCCAGCTCATCGTCGTCCTCAGCCAATAGCATCTCATCTTCCTCTGTGAGAGCAAGCCCCGAGGTACCAGCCTCGCCCCCCCCTCCTGCTGCTGCTGCTGCTGCACCACTAGAGCTTGTCCCTCCACCATCACCATCAGCAGCCGCAGCATTGCTGGATTCGCCGGTAGTGGTAATAGGGGGAGCTGCAGCCCCTTCCTCCTCCTCCACTCTCTCGTACGCGTCGCATGCAGCGTCGTCGTCCACAAAGAGAGACGCATCGGACAGGAAGAGCTCGCGACCACTGCAGATGGGGGGACAAGGGGGGGGGAGGGGAGGAGGGGGAGGGGGAGGGGGAGTGGGGGGAGGGAGGGGGAGGGGGTGAGGGGGGAGGGGGAGGGTGTCATGAGAAGATGCTCACTGTAGGTCATCCCTGATTCCTTGTATCTCACCCATAGCTTACTGAAACTCACCGCATAGTTCACTGTAGCTCACCTCATTCTGTCCTCCTTGGCGCGTGCAGCCTTCTTAGCCGCCAGCTCAGCACAATACACAAAGTACCACACCCCAATCACACAGTACCACACCCCAATCACAGAGTAGCACACCCAATCACACAGTACCACACCCCAATACACCCAGTAGCACACCCCGTGATGAATAAACCAAGGGGCTCACCACATTCTGTCCTCCTTGGCACGTGCCGCCTTCTTAGCCGCAAGCTCAGCCCATGTTACCCTGTGCCTCACCCATGTTACCTTGTGCCTCACCCATGTTACCTTGTGCCTCACCCATGTTACCTTGTGCCTCATCCATGTTACCTTGTGCCTCATCCATGTTACCCTGTGCCTCACCCCCATGTTACCCTGTGCCTCACCCCCATGTTACCCTGTGCCTCACCCCCATAGATCACTGTAGCTCACCTCATTCTGTCCTCCTTGGCACGTGCCGCCTTCTTAGCCGCCAGCTCAGCGTCGCGAATGGCCTGCTTCTTCTGCTTCCACTCGGCGAAGATCTCAGTCGTCAACTGCGTGTGGCTCGCTGTCATCTTGCGCTGTGAGGGGGAGTCGGCAAAGGACGAGGGGGTGGAGAGAGGGCGAGGGGAGGAGGGGTGGGGGAGAGGGGGGGGGGGGGGAAGAGGCAGGGGAAATTCAGATTCGAATGGCCTGCTTGTTTCTTTTCCACTCAGCGAATATCTCTGTTGTCAGCTGCGTGAGGCTCGCTGTCATCTTCCGCTGTGAGGGGGGAGGAGAGGGGGGAAGCCGCGGGTATCAGGCGAACAGAGGGGGGGGGGGGGGGGGAGAGAGCGAGGCAGGAGAGAGTCAGATTCAAAAGGCCTGCTTCTTCTGCTTGTTTGCCACCTCCTCCTCCAGCAGCGCTTTCATCTGTGGCTTGAGCAAGTAGCCATGCTGCAAGGTGCTGCACAATACCACTTACTCATTTCCCCCTCACCTCGTTTTCAATAAACTTCTTCGACAGTCAGCTTGTTCGCCTGCTCCTCCTCCAGCAGCGCCTTCATCTGCGACTTGAGCACATAGCCGGGCAGCAAGGTGCTGCACAGTACAAATCACTCCCACCCTTCTCACCTCGTTCGCAATCCCCTCACCTCGTTCTCAATCATCTCTTCAACAGTCAGCTTGTTCGCCTGCTCCTCCTCCAGCAACGCCTTCATCTGCGACTTGAGCACGTAGCCGGGCGGCAGAGCGTGGCGGTACATGCAGTCCTTGCCGCCGTTGGGGCACACCCAGAACCACCCGTACTGCTTCTTCTCGACGGCGTCCAGGAAGTGCTTGCACACCTGCGCATATGTGTGGGGGAGTGGGGAGATCGAATGATTGTGTTTGTTGTTGTAAAGGTAGGGGCACCCACACACCCAGAACCACCCGTACTGCTTCTTCTCGACCATGTCCAAAAAGTGCTTGCACACCTGCACATATGTGTGGGGGAGTGGGGAGATAGAATGATTGTGCTTAGGCTGTAGGGGCAGGCTGTAGGGGCACCCACACGTTCAAAACCGCCTGTACTGCTTCTTCTCAATGGCCTCACGCAAGAACTTGAAATTTATACGTGAATATCCGTGTCCTTTTCTTGAGCTCCCTGGCTCTCTTCTACCACTATCTACCACTCTCTACCACTACCTACCACTCCCTACCACTCTCTGCCACTCTCTGCCACTCTCTGCCACTCTCTGCCACTCACTGCCACTCACTGCCACTCTCTGCCAGTCTCCACAACTCTCTACCTCGCACCCTCCCGCCATCCAGCGTACAATTTCAGTGGGCTTATTCGCGTTTTTGTACTCTCCGCCCTTGGACGCCACCACCTGCTTGAGCTCCCTGGCTCTCGTCTACCACTCTCTGCCACATTCCACCTCTCTCTACCACTCTCCACCTCTTTCTACCGCTCTGCCTCCCCCCATACGGCGTACAATTTCAGTGGGCTTATTGGCGTTTTTGTACTCTGCGCCCTTGGAAGCCACCACCTGCTCCAGCTTCGCTTGATCCCAGTCCTCCATCTTGTCTGGACGCACACAGAGAGGCAGAGGGATACGGACAGATAGGCACGGGGGTTCGTGAACACAGGGAGACAGGCAGATGCACAAGCACACGTAGAGGCACAGAGAGCCATTCGGACGCCACCACCTGCTCCAACTTCGGCACCCTTCTTCTCCCCCCACCATCCCCCTCCCCCCTTCCCCCCTCTCCTCCTCCCTCACCTTCGTCGTCCCTCTGGTCGCTGTAAAGGTCGATCTTCTCGCCCTTGCGCTCCACGCTCAGGTCGCCTCTAGACAGACCTCTCTGCTCCTCGCCTCTCCCGCTCCTCCCCTTCCCCCCTCTCCTCCTCCCTCACCTTCGTCGTCCCGCTGGTCGCTGTAAAGGTCGATCTTCTCGCCCTTGCGCTCCACGCTCAGGTCGCCTCTAGACAGACCTCTCTGCTCCTCGCCTCTCCCGCTCCCCCCCTTCCCCCCTCTCCTCCTCCCTCACCTTCGTCGTCCCGCTGGTCGCTGTAAAGGTCGATCTTCTCGCCCTTGCGCTCCACGCTCAGGTCGCCTCTAGACAGACCTCTCTGCTCCTCGCCTCTCCCGCTCCTCCCCTTCCCCCCTCTCCTCCCTCACCTTCGTCGTCCCGCTGGTCGCTGTAAAGGTCGATCTTCTCGCCCTTGCGCTCCACGCTCAGGTCGCCTCTAGACAGACCTCTGCTCCTCGCCTCTCCGCTCCCCCTTCCCCCTCTCCTCCCTCACCTTCGTCGTCCCGCTGGTCGCTGTAAAGGTCGATCTTCTCGCCCTTGCGCTCCACGCTCAGGTCGTGGGAGAACTTGCACTTAAAGCCCTTGCTGCACTGCCCGTGGCGGAAGAACTCGCAGACGATGGACTTGGGGTCCACGCCTAATGTGGGGGGAGCGGAAGGGAAGGACAGGAAACAAGACAGGAGAGGGGGATGGTCGAGCCCCCTTGGCGCACTGTCCGTGGCGGAAGAACTCGCAGACGATGGACTTGGGGTCCACGCCTAATGTGGGGGAGCGGAAGGGAAGGACAGGAAACAAGACAGGAGAGGGGGATGGTCGAGCCCCCTTGGCGCACTGTCCGTGGCGGAAGAACTCGCAGACGATGGACTTGGGGTCCACGAGGTGACTTTTGAGTGACTCAGAAGTCACCTTTTGAGTCGACTTGGGGCCCATGCCTGAAGGGGGTGGGGGAGGAGGAAGGGGGGGGAGGGGAGGGAGGAACGGAGAAGAGAAGGGCAGGAAAAGAGGGAAGGGGAGGGTATAAGGACTGGGCGAGCGGTCCAAGCCCTTGGCGCACTGGCCGAGGCGTTTAGGGGGGAAATGGGAGGGAGGAGGGAGGAGGGGGGAGGGGGGAAGTTATTGTAAGCAAGGAGCGAGTGGTCCACGCCACTTGGCGCATTGCCCGTGGCGGAAGAACTCGCACACGATGGACTTGGGATTCACGGCTGAGACGCATGGGGGGGGGGAGGGGAGGGATGGGCGGAGAGAGAAGAGGGCAGTTGGGAGGTAGGTCGTGCGAGAACTTGCACTTGAAGCGCAACAAGGAACCCAAGCAGTCGCACCTGGCGCCGGGACCGTGGGCTGCGTGATGGCGACTCTGACGAGCTCGTTCAGCGCCGTCTTCCTCTTGCTCTTGTCTAGAGCCGACTCGAAACACGCCTGGATCACCGCGCACACTGACCTTTGAGGACCTAGAAAGCCTAGTGTGGAGGGGATAACCTCAGCTATACCTGGCGGCACCTTGGCCTGCGTGATTGCGACTCTGAAGAGCTCGTTCAGCTCCTTCGCTCCCCCTCCTTCTCCCTCCCTCTTGCTTAAAGATCACTTGCGAACAAACCTGGAGGAACACAATTACCTGGAGCTGAGAGGCAGTCGCACACCTGGCGATCACCTCCATCGCACCTGGCGATCACCTCCATCGCACCTGGCGATCACCTCCATCGCACCTGGCGGCACCTTGGCCTGCGTGATGTTGACTCCGAAGAGCCCGTTCGTAATGAGTCGATTTTTGAGTCGACTAAAAAATCGACTCATTACACACGACTCAAAAAGCGACTCTGAAGAGCCCGATCAGCTCCTTCTCCCTCTTGCTACCAGTCAACTGGACACCAACCTGGAGGGACCTGGTAGCCTTGTAACTCTTAGCGCCCGAAATGTGAAGTAGAGAGGCTCAGCTGTACCTGGCGGCACCTTGGGCTGCGTGATGGCGACTCTGAAGAGCTCGTTCAGCTCCTTCTCCCTTTTCGCCTCCTCCTCCTTCTTCTTCTGCACTTCCGATACACGCACACCGACGCAGACACCCAATACAATCACACCAGCACAATCACCCGATACTCGCACATTCAGAGACACCCCGTATAAGCACATTCACACAAAGTCACCCCCTCTTCGGCATTAGCACAATCACGCAACCACTCAAATACAGCAACAATCCTCTAAACACGCAACCACTCTCCTGCTCACGAAATCAAGTGTCCGGTCATCACGAAGACTCGGGTTACCAACGAAAAGTTACCTTTCTGGCGACGGCTGGGTCTTCAGCGGCCTGTCGTCTAGCCGTTGCCTGCACGGACTGCTGCATGTTCTGCACATACTTCTGAACCTTGTTGCTCTTGTTCTTGTTCTTCAGCCCGAACGTCTTATCCTCCACGACCTTCTGCTTCTTCGCGATATCCGCTTTAGACTGCTTCGCTTCCTTCTTCGGCGGCATTGTGACTAGCTACACTCGGTCCCCCCGCAATGTCGGCTCTGTTTTGTGGTAAAACGACTAAGTACCAGTACCGCTAAGTACACTTGGTCCCACTAAGTACACTTGGCCTCTACCGCTAAGTTTCGCCGATCAAGGCGCTTGATGAAGGTCGTCAAGCCGTCAAGCCGTCAAAGCGTCAAACCGTCAAGCTGTCTGAATAAACGGTACAGGGAACGCGCGGGGAGAATCGACGTGGGATAGGGAAAAGGCTTTGACTAAATAACTACAGCAGAGACTTGTCATAGGACGTATGGCATATATTTGAGAGAGGACGGCCTCTTCCTCTGAGGTATGGAAAGCTAGGAATCGACGACGGGTACACCCTACCGCGACTATCGCGCCATGCGGACTGCGGAAGAACGCACGAAAAAACAAGAGAGGATTTAAGCCAGGGCAGGCTTCCTTGGACTAATCTAGTTTTGCTTCTATGCGTGGCAATCTCTAGGGCAAGTCTCAGGAACCCTGAATCCCCAGATGGACTGCGCGGAGGGGGAAGGAGCGGGGCGAAGGCGGAAAATTGGCGGAAAAATGTCGGAAACCGAAGCTGACATTTGGGGATTCTGCGGGGGTTTTGCGCGGTTGAGTGAAACATCTGGTCTGGCGCGCAGGGTAGCGTGGGATGGGGGTGTGCGCGAGGGGAAGGCGAGCAGGGATTCTGCCAGATCGTCGATAGAAGTTTCCAAGATCCCTCGATTATAACCAGGTCCTGAGAAATGTTTCTAGCGAAACTGGGTACCCTAAAACGTTCACGTATAAGCCATAACTTATGGCATAACTTCATTTTGCAATCACATGCACCCACAGACTTCTCATACTGGCTTCCAAAATTTATCTAGCTTGAGCACCTGGAGCACAAAACGTTCACATAGCAGCTACAACATGGCACAGGGCAGCTGCTAACTGCCGCAGACTAACGGGCTTCAATAAAACCTCGTCCATCCCCGCTGTCCCACATGCTGCCACAAGAGCCTCATCTGTTCTTGCCGTAATGCCAACGATGAATGGTCGACTATCGGGGCTGTTTGGGTGGGGAAGGCGTGACGGGTGCGAGAGGGATTAGCCAAGAAGTTAACTCCCTTGCTGAATCGAGGCCCAACGAGAGGCTAGAATACCACAAACCCTGAAGCCCAACAAAGGCTAGAATAGAACAAAGGCCAAGAAGTTAGCTCACCGCTCGGCAAGCCACAGCTGGAAAATATAAATAATCCATTAATTTCACGTAATGCACTCACCGGAACATCTTGTGGATGCAGCGAGCAGCCTCGAGGCCGTCTACATCGGGCATGCAGATATCCAAGAGCACAATGTCTGCGATGGGGGCAGCTGACGGGCTCTTCCTGCTGCCAGAAAGGATCGAGAGGCACTCCTGTGTGCTGGCGGCTAGGGTGACGTGGCAGTGCAGGGACAGGAGGAGCTGATGTGTCGCGATGCGATTGGCCACGTTGTCTTCCACAAGCTGCGTTGAGCGTGAGAGGGGGAAGGGTGAGGTGGGAGAGTGGGTGTGAGTGTCGTAGGGCCGAGGGAGCGAGAGGTATGACAGTGTAATGGGACGAAGGAGGCAAGCAGGCAGGGATGATATATAACAGCAAGAATAACTCACCAGCACGCGGATCCCCTCCAGCTCTTGGATATACGCCCCAATGGAGCACGACGACTCATCACTATCACTCCCCTCGTCCCCATCCCCCTCATCCTCCTCACTCCCGGACCCCTCATCCCCAGACCCTTCCAAACCACTCATCATGTTCCTCCTCCTCCTATGCCTCGTCCTCGTCCGGTCACACAGCAACCGCACGGAGAACGCAGTAGCAGCGCCGGGGTCGGAGGCCTGGGTGGCGTTCCAGTAGTGACCGTCCATGAGGAGGAGAAGCTTCTGGCAGATGGAGCAGGAGGGCGCCACAAACTGCTCGTTGATGCTCGCCTGCCGCTGCCTCTCCACTGCCTCCGCTTCGCTCAGATCCGCCGCGCTACCTTCCACCACCAGGCCACTGCTGCGTTCCGTTGCGCTCGATCTAGAGTCCGCTGCTGCATGGTGCGTGTGTGCTGCTGCCGAACCGCTGCTGCTGTCTGCTGCGGCGCTGCTTGTGTCGGCCGGATGCCGTGTGTGGGGCGCCAGAGGGTGGGGCGCCAGAGGGTGGGGCGCCAGAGGGTGGGGCGCCAGAGGGTGGGGCGCCAGAGGGTGGGGCGCCAGAGGGTGGGGCGCCAGGGGGTGGGGCGCCAGGGGGTGGGGCGGCTCTAGAGGTGGATGGACGTGTGAGGCTTGGCTGTACGCGCTCTCGTTGCTGGACGTGCGGCTGACCCTGTGCTCCGATTCATGTGTGTTGCTGTGGACATGCCAAGGCGCATATGCCTGTGCCTGTGCCTGTGCATACCCCTGTGCATGCCCCTGTGCATGCCCCTGTGCATGCCCCTGTACATGCCCCTGGGTATGTGCATGCGCTGATGGGTTAGCCTGTGCCTGTGTCTGTGTATGCTCATGTGCATGTGCCTGCGTACCTGTGCCCTCCTTCCCCCCGACTCCCACGCTTTGACCTGATTCAGCGCCAACCCCCCCCTGCGCCGCCCCCCCTCCCAGTGCGCGTGTGCACCCAACCCATCCCTCCGCCAATAGCCCTTGGCCCACGTTCGCAGGGTCCTGCCCCAGGGCCTGCATCCCCGCTATAGCCTGCCCCTTTAGCACCTCCTCTCTCTCCCTGGCCTGCTCGAATCGCTCCAGTAGGGCTTGCTTGGACTCCTCCCCTCCCGAGTCGGTCACTGTGATGCGCACTCGCACGTGGTCCTGGCGGGAGATCTGGGTGTGTGGGGAGTGAGGGTTAAAGGGAGGGAAGAGGCACAGGTGAAGGCTGGAAAAGGCTTGCCAGTACTTGCTTGGACTCCTCCCCTCCTGAGTCGGTCACTGTGATGCGCACCTGCACGTGGTCCTGGCGGGAGACCTGGGTGCATACGGAGAAAAGGCTTAGATTAGGCACAGATGAAGGTGGAAAGGCCCGCCAGTGCCTACTGCTTGGACTCCTCCCCTCCAAAGTCGGTCACTGTGATGCGCACCCGCACGTGGTCCTGGCGGGAGATCTGCTTAAGTTGGGGAGGGGGGAGGGGGGAGAGGGGGGGGGAGGGGACGGGGAAGGGGAGGGGGAAAAATTCAAGAGCTTGCCAGTGCCTGCAAGGAATGCTCCCCTCCCGACTCGGTCACTGTGATGCGCACCCGCACCCTGGCGCGAGAGGTCTGGGGGGGAGGGGATGGGGCAGGGTGGCAACAAGAGTGGGGGAGGGGATGGGGCAGGGTGGCAACAAGAGTGGGGGGAGGGGATGGGGCAGGGTGGCAACAAGAGTGGGGGGAGGGGATGGGGCAGGGTGGCAACAAGAGTGGGGGGAGGGGATGGGGCAGGGTGGCAACAAGAGTGGGGGGAGGGGATGGGGCAGGGTGGCAACAAGAGTGGGGGAGGGGATGGGGCAGGGTGGCAACAAGAGTGGGGGGAGGGGATGGGGCAGGGTGGCAACAAGAGTGGGGGGAGGGAGAGCCGCGGATGGCGGAAGGCAAGAGACAGTCCGCTGAAAGAACATAGTGCAGAATCACAGTGGAGAAGTCAGAAATTCCGGGTCCCCGTTTATGCTCACTGTGAAGCATACCCTCATGTGATCTGTGCGTTATGAGTCTATTCTTGAGTCTACTAAAAAATAGTCTCATAACACACTGTGAAGCATACTCTCATGTGATCTCGTCTGTCTCTGTTGCACTGGATGTTTGGAGTGATAAGGAGAGATTAGGAGTGATTAGGAGTGATTACAGCGAGTGATCTCGAGTGCACAGAAGCATAGATGTACGTGCTTCTGTGCTTAAGAGTGCCTACGAACTTACAGCCGAATGGAGGGCATGTGATGGATGCTCGATGTGTGGCTTTCTTGCCGGACCGTGACTGCCGTCTGACAACCCCACAGCCACCGAGATTGTGCCCTGAGGATTGGGGAGTAGGGGGAGATCCCTGGTAAGTGTGGGGGACAGATTGTATGTGTAAGACCCAACTTTGCCAGGCCGTGACTGCCATCTGACAACCCCACAGCCACCAAGATCGTGGCCTGAAAGGTTGACGCAAGAGGTGTGGGGAGGGGAGACGGAGGGGGCGTTATGTACAAGGTGTAGATGATTGTTGAGGTGTCTTAGGACCCGCCTTTGCTGGCCTGTGACTGTCATCTGACAGCCCCGCAGCCCCGCATACCTCGTCGCTGGAGTTGATGGCATGGCCGACGATGTGCAGCACCACGCGCAGAAGTCGCCGCTCATCCCTTACCACGTGCCTTGGCACCTCCCTTGCCTTCAGTACAGAGAAGCTCAGCCCCTTGGCCAGGATGGTAGTTGAGTCGACTCAAGTTTTGCCTTTCCGCAATCACCAGACACAACGTCAAGCACCTCAGGCACCACAAGCACCACAACCCATACCTCATCACTCCAGTCAATGGCATGGCCGAGGATGTGCAGCACCACGCGCAACAGTTGCTGCTCATCTCCCACCACATGTCGCGGCACCTCTCTTGCGATCAGCACAGAGAAGCCGAGTCGACGCAAGAGTTGCTGACCTCTGAGGTGACTTTTGAGTTGACCTCTGAGGTGACTTTTGAGTTGACCTCTGAGGTGACTTTTGAGTTGACCTCTGAGGTGACTTTTGAGTTGACCTCTGAGGTGACTTTTGAGTCGACTCAAAAGTCGATGCAAGACTTACTGACCTCTCCGCAATCGCCACAGAGAAGCTCGGCTGTTCGGACAAGCATACATGCGCACACCACCTCACGCACCACATACCACATCCATACCTCATCGCTCGAGTCGATGGCATGGCCGAGGATGTGCAGCACCACTCGTAGCAGCCGCCTCTCATCCCCCACCACGTGCCGCGGCACCTCTCTTGCGATCACCACCGAGAAGCTCAGCCCCTCGGGAAAGCATTCAACCGTGCACAACCACAGGCACCGCAAGCACCACATACCACATCCATACCTCATCGCTCGAGTCGATGGCATGGCCGAGGATGTGCAGCACCACACGCAGCAACCGCCTCTCATCCCCCACCACGTGCCTTGGCACCTCCCCGACAGCCAACCAACCACAGAGCACAAGCACACACACTACGGCACACCATTACCTCATCTGAAGAGTCGATGGCATGGCCAAGGATGTGCAGCACCACACGCAGCAACCGCCTCTCATCCCCCACCACGTGCCGCGGCACCTCCCTGGCGATCACCACAGAGAAGCTCAGCCCCTTGGCTCGCATCATGGGCCATGCCAGGGACGCTGCGTCGTGCAGCATGCGCCTCAGATCGAAGGGGCGGTGCTCTAGCACCAGGCTGGTTGGGGGGAAGGAGGAGGGAGGGCACTCTCAGTATGCCCCTTGGCTCGCATCATGGGCCATGCCAGGGATGCTGCATCGTGCAGCATGCGCCTCAGATCAAAGGGGCGATGCGCTAGCACCAGGCTGGTTGGGGGAGGGGAAGAAGGAAGAAGTGAGGAGAGTGGGAAGAGGGGGGTCTCTCAATTCACGCCTTGGCTTGCAGAAGGGGCGATGCCAGGGACGCTGTGGTGCTCCAGCACTAGGCTGGTGGAAGCAATGGAGGTTTGCTGCACGCCGCATGTTTCCTCACTTGATCTCCGATGACGTCGGATTTTTTTTTTAATTTTTTTTTGGGCTTTAAGGAGATCCCAGGAGGAAACCAGGCCCCCTTTCCCACGCCGATCCACCTGTGAGCCCCTGGGGGAGACCCTTCCCACGTCGGATGAGTCTGCTTTTGAGTCAACTCAAATGCAGCGGTGCTCCAGCACTAGGCTGGTGGAAGCAATGGAGGTTTGCTGCATTCTGTGTCTTTCCTTGATCTCCTGCCGCTGTGCCACCCCAATGACGTCGCAGATGAGCGATGCGAGCATGGATGCCGTGCGAGGGAGAGTGGCCACAATGGCTCCTTTGAATGCGGTTCAAAGCAGTGCTATGTGGTTTCGATGCAGTACTGCGCAGTTCAGTGGTATGGACCGTATGTTTGCTTACTTGATCTCCTGCCGCTGTGCCACCCCAATGACGTCGCAGACGAGCGATGTGAGCATGGATGCGCTGCCGGAGAGAGTGGCCACCATGGGTCCTTGAATGTGGCTCAATGCGGTACTATGCGGTCTTGATGTGGTACTGTGCGGTTCATTGCTCTTCTGTATGTTTGCTTACTTGATCTCTTGCCGCTGTGCCACCCCAATGACGTCGCAGATGAGCGATGTGAGCATGGATGCGCTGCGAGAGAGAGTAGCCACCATGGGTCCTTGAATGTGGCTCAATGCGGTACTAAGCGGTCTTGATGTGGTAGTTTGCGGTTTATTGCTCTTCTGTATGTTTCCTTACTTGATCTCCTGCCGCTGTGCCACCCCAATGACGTCGCAGATGAGCGATGTGAGCATAGATGCGCTGCGAGAGAGAGTGGCCACCATGGGTCCTTGCTCGTCTGTCAGCTCATCCTCCTGTTGCCATACCATGCCATACCATGCCATACCATGCCATGCCATGCCATACCATGCCATGCCATGCCATACCATGCCATACCATGCCATACCATGCCATACCATGCCATGCCATGCCATACCATGCCATACCATGCCATACCATGCCATACCATGCCATGCCATGCCATACCATGCCATACCATGCCATACCATGCAATGCCATGCCATACCATGCCATACCATGCCATGCCATGCCATACCATGCCATGTCATGCCATACCATGCCATACCATGCCATACCATGCCATACCATGCCATACCATGCCATGCCATGCCATACCATGCCATACCATGCCATCCCATGCCATACCATGCCATGCGATGCCGTGCAACGTGAAGAAAACAGCAGGGTAGATTGGAGGGGGGAATCCAGAATGAAGAGAATCAGCGTGCAACAACTGCCTAGAGAATACAAGAGGGTGACGATGCCATGCCGGGGGCTCCTCATCTCTTGGCTTCGGCCAGGTTTGCATCCCAGGCTTGGTACCAGGCTCGGATCCCAGGCTCGGCTCCTAGGCTCTGTGGCACAGTCTAGGACTCAAGGAATAGGAGGGTTTGTGCTGTGCGTGCATCCATGACAGGGTAGAGCGCGATAATGGTGTGCAGACGGATGCATAGGGGGGGATACATACGGGGGATGCATGAGGGGGGATGCACGAGGGGGGATGCATGGGGGGGGATGCATGGGGGGGGATGCATGGGGGGGGATGCATGGGGGGGGATGCATGGGGGGGGATGCATAGGGGGGGATGCATAGGGGGGATGCATAGCGGGGGGAAGCATGGGGGCGGATGCATAGGGGGGGATGCATATGGGGGGGATGCATATGGGGGGGATGCAGGAAGCCGTTCCTCGCTCAATGTAGAGTGCAGGGAACTGGCTCAGGCTCTAGACTTGGGTAAATGAGTGACGCCAAGGCAAGGCGAGGATGGTGTGCAGCGGGAGCCGCATCTCGCGAACCATTCTGAGACACCTCGTGGTTTAACGGCACAGGCTCTATCATGTGTAAGCACGCACCTCCATGAGTGGGCATACCTCCACATGATTGGGCATACCTCCATGAGTGGCCATACCTCCATGAGTGGCCATACCTCCATGAGCGGGCATACCTCCATGAGCGGGCATACCTCCATGAGCGGGCATACCTCCACATGAGCGGGCATACCTCCATGAGTGGGCATACCTCCATGAGTGGGCATACCTCCATGAGTGGGCATACCTCCATGAGTGGGCATACCTCCATGAGTGGGCATACCTCCATGAGTGGGCATACCTCCATGAGTGGGCATACCTTCATGAATGAGGTCAAGGCGAAGATGGTGTGCAGCGGGCTCCACATCTCCTGGTTCAACACCGACAGGAAGTCTTTCCTTGCTAGGATCGCTTCCTCTCATGGTCTCGGGTTCGGTATAGGGTGTCGAGTGTAGGTTTCAGGGCACAAGAGTAGACTCGAAGGGTAACGGTTTTGAGCCGACGTACCTCCATGAGAGAGGAAAGCGCGAGTATGGTGTGCAGCGGGCTGCGCATCTCGTGGTTCATCACCGACAGGAAGTCGTTCCTCGCTTGAATTGCCTCCTCCGCCCGCAGCCTCGCCACCTGCAAGGCTGCATTCTGCTCTGCCAGATCCTCCCTGCGCCTCTGTGTGAGGGAGGGATGGGAGGGGAGGGGAGGGGAGGGGAGGTGGGGGGAGGGGAGGGGAGGGGAGGTGGGGGGGAGGGGAGGGGGGGGGGGGGAGGGGAGCGGAGGGGAGGGAAGAGGAGGGAAGGGGAGAGGAGGGGAGGGGAAAGGAGGGGAGGGTGTTGGCGGAGGGGGAAGCTTGGGTGTGAAGAGGGATCGCCTCTGCTCCTACCTTCGCCACCTGCAGCGCTGCATCAGCTCTGGCAGATCCTCCCTGCGGAGCGGAATAGGACAGAGGGCAGGGAGGGGCAGGGGGAAGAACAGAAAGCGATTTACGTGAATCGCCTCCCCCTCCTCTGCTGCAGTCATGCCACCTGCAAGGCTGCATTCTGCTCTGCTAGCTCCTCCCTCGCTGCGCCTCTGTGCGAGCGGTCAGGGGGGGCAGACAGAGAGACAGACGGGAGGCGGGCTGGATGGGAAAATACTAATTTTTTAGGCACTGCCTCAAGAACATTCTGCTCTGCAAGCTCCTCCCTCCCTGGGCCTCTGTGCGAGCGGTCAGGGGGGCAGACAGAGAGACAGACGGGAGGGGGGGGCTCGACGGGAAGAGGGGAGCGGAATGCCATGTGGATTGCCTGCTGCGCTCCTTGAGGCGCCTCAAAAATGCCATGTGGATTGCCTGCTGCGCTCCCAACTGGACAGCCTGGAGCGCTGCATCGTGCTCTGCAAACTCCTCCCCTCCCCCCCCCCCCCTTCTTCTTCGCCATAAACCTCATATCGAAACAAGTACCATCTGTACTATAAACGAAACCATTCTCATTATGTAGAGGCACCTTATAGCGAGTACAGCCTGGTTACCTGCGACTCTTCAAGTGCTGCAGCATGTGAAAGCGCAATGGCCACTTGGTCCGCCACCACCTCCACCATCTCCACCTCGTGGGCCTGCCACTGCCTTCATGGGGGGGGGGAAAGGAGGGGGATAGGATATTGAGAGGAGGGGGGGGGAGGGGGAGGGAAGGGGAGGGGGGGAAGAGAAATTTCTTCATTTTCGCCCTTGGAGGTTGGGGCTTAGAACGGGTATGAAGACTTCTTCACAAAGGAGAGAAAGAAAAAGATGTGACTTGGTCTGCCACCACCTCCACCATCTCCACCTCGTGCGGCTGCCACTGCCTGCATGGGGGGAGGGGGGGGGGGGACGAGTTGCAGGGGAGGAGGAGAGAGTGGAGGCTGGGAGTCAAGGACAGGAATGAGGGAGAGAACGAGCAAGCTATGGCCACTTGGTCTGCCACCACCTCCTCCACCTCCACCTCGGCCACATCACCTGTCTGTCTCGCTCCGCTCCACATCTCCCTCCTCCTGCTGCCCCGTTCCTTCCCCTTGCATCCTCTCCCTTCTTTCCCCCTCCCCTCCCCCGTCTACCCTCCCCCCTCACCTCTTCTCGTCTCCATGCAGCACCAGCACCATGACCCCATACTCCACTGCCGATTCGTACTCCATATCAGCAGCATCGCTGCCAGCAAAGCCATCATCATCTGCACCACCATTACCACCGCCACCACGGCCACCAGCAGCTGCAGTATCGCCATAGCCAGGCTCCTCCCCCTGCTGACTGCTCCTAGACGCATGGCAGTGTGTTGGAATGTGGATGGCCAAGCGAACGGCTGCGGGAAGAGGGGGGGGGGGGAAGCGGAGGGTGGGCTTTACTTCAGACGATGCAACACTTGCTGACTGATCATAGACACATGGCAGTGAGGAATGTGAGGAAGAGATGTGGGCAGGGCTGCAAGACTACCCACCTGCCATGGCGTTGGAGTGCGCCCCTCGGGGCGTGGAGGCAGGGCCAATGAAGGAGGAGTGGGAGATGAGGCACAGTAATGTGCGGGCATGGGAGGAGTACTACACCAGTACTTACTCTCTGCTATGGCACAGTAATGTGCGGGCATGGGAGGAGTACGACACCAGTACTTACTCTCTGCTATGGCACAGTAATGTGCGGGCATGGGAGGAGTACTACACCAGTACTTACTCTCTGCTATGGCACAGTAATGTGCGGGCATGGGAGGAGTACTACACCAGTACTTACTCTCTGCTAAGGCACAGTAATGTGCGCGCATGGGAGGAGTACTACACCAGTACTTACTCTCTGCTATGGCACAGTAATGTGCGCGCATGGGAGGAGTACTACACCAGTACTTACTCTCTGCTACCTGTCCAAACATCACATCATACCTGCCATGGCGTTCGAGTGCGCCCCTCGGGGCATGAAGGCAGATCCAATGACGGAGGGGGGAGCAGCGGTGATGAGGCACAGCCATTTGCCGGCATGCGCATACCATAACATAAGCCATTACAATTTACTCCAGCCGGCAGATCCTCACTGCTACCAATACAGACATCACAGCCCACCTGCCATGGCAGTGGCGTGCGCCCCTCGGGGCGTGGAGGCAGATCCAATGAAGGAGGAGTGTGAGATGAGGCACGGGTTTGACGTGGCGATCACTGATTGGACGCTGGGGTCGGATATGTGTACGCATATGGGGACCTGCAGGAGGGGAGATGGGAGCGCACATGTGGGAGGCTAGCATTTGGAGTTGGATAAGGGTGACTTTTGAGTCGTATTAAAAACTTTTTGAGTCGTATAAAAAACTTTTTGAGTCGTATTAAAAATACACCTGCAGGCTGGGGGATTGGGAAACAGCACATATGGGAGCTTCACATTTGGAGTGGACGGGGAGGGGGAGAGGGGAGAAGGGGACGGGGGACGGGTGCGGGGGAGGAAGTTGTGGGAGAATGTTGTGTGGGAGATGAGGCTGAGAGGAATGGCTAAGAGATAATCATGGGAGATGTAACCACCGGTATTTAATAACCTACAGTCACATCACCTACAACCGTGGTATCTAGTATCTACAGTCACATCACCTACAACCGTGGTACCTACAGTCACATCACCTACAATCACAGTACCTGCACCAGTCGTCTCTCCAGCTCATGCGTCAGCTCCAAATACTCCCCCGCTGCATGTGGGCATCCAGAGGGCAAGCGGAAGAGACGGGAGGAGGGGGGTGGGGATGGGAGGAGAGAGGTCGGGATGTTAGTAATTTCGTTCTGAGAGCACACAAACACAAATACTCCCCCGCTGCATGTGGGCATCCAGAGGGCAAGCGGAAGAGACGGGAGGAGGGGGGTGGGGATGGGAGGAGAGAGGTCGGGATGTTAGTAATTTCGTTCTGAGAGCACACAAACACAAATACTCCCCCGCTGCATGTGGGCAGCCAAAGGGCAAGCGGAGGAAGAGATGGGGGGGGGGGGGGGGGATGGGGGGAGAGGTGTCGAGATGGGTGGGAGAAAGAGGAGGGAGTTACACGCTGATGGTCATGGTGTGGGGAATAATCCCTATGGGTACTCCTTGGCAACCCTATGGTAGCACTGGCACATACGGTGGTAACCCTACATTGTAACACACACTCCCACATGTGCCAAGGTGGTAACCGTATGCTCGCACTCACAGGGGTCTGGCATCCACACAGTGCAGTTCTCCAGCACCAGCGCCTGGGCGAGCTCCACCAGAGTGGTGTTGAGAATGGTGTGGCGGTCCAGGGACTGCCGGATCTCATACGTTAGCATGCGCACATGACGGCCCACCTGCAGGCGAAACAGGGGGGAAGGGGGGGGAGGGGGGAGAAGAGCGGGAGTCGTGTTGAGAATGGTGTGGCGGTCCAGGGACTGCCGGATCTCATAATTTAGCATGCGCACATGACGACCCACCTGTGGGGGCGGAAAGGTGGGGGGAAAGGGGGAGGGAAGGAGGGGAAAGGGGGGGAAGGGGGGGAGAAGATGGGGAGAGGTGTTGAGAATGGTGTGGCGGCCCAGGGACTGTCTTATCTCATACGTTAGCATACGCACGTGGCGACCCACCTGCGGGGCGGAACAGGGGGGAAAGGGGGGGGAGAGGGAGAGTGGTGTTCAAAATGGTGTGCATGTGACGACCGACAGTGAGTGGTGTTGAGAATGGTGTGGTGGCAGTCCAGGGACTGCCAGATCTCATACGTTAGCTTGCGCACATGAGAGGAGGAGTGATGAGGAGGGAGGGGTTGTGAGAGTGAATTGTGGCACAGCGGTCGAGGGATTGTCCCATTTCGTACGCTTGCATGTGCACATGACAGCAGGGCAGGTGAGATCAGAAAATCTCCCTCCTCCCTGGGCCGCCACTTCTCTTGAGGCGCCTCAAAAGTAATCTCCCTCCTCCCTGGGTCACCACTTCTCACTGTGTGTAATGAGTCGATTTTGAGTCGACTCAAAAACACGGCAGGTGAGATCAGAAAATCTCCCTCCTCCCTGGGCCGCCACTTCTCACCGCCCCTCTCCACCTTTGGCTTAAAGATGGAGCGCCTCCTTCCCGAATTGGCCCGACTCGTCTTTTGAGGCGCCTCAAAAGTACTTTCCTTCCCTGTTGCCTTTTCCCCTAACTAACCCCTACTACTTGCTTTCTTGTACCGTCCTTGTACTTTGCCTCCCCTTCCTCCCGTCGCGTGGACTCTCTTTCCCTTGTGCAGTCCCTTGAGGAGTCTAGTTTTTGAGGCGCCTCAAAAATAGACTCCTCCCGTCGCGTGGACTCTCTTTCCCTTGTGCATTCCCTTGACCTGCCCACTGTTCATCTCACCTACTACCTCCTCCGTATGGCATCCATCTCCCGATCCAGCTATTTTTAAGCACCTTACAAATAGACTCCCTTCGCCTTCCCCCCTAACTAAACCCCCACTTTGCCTCACCTCCTCTCTCCTCCGTATGGCATCCATCTCCCGATCCAGCTGAGCAGCCTTGTGCTGCAGAGACAGCTCCCGAACCTGCACGGCAGGCACGGGAAGAAAGAGGGAAAGGAGAAAAGAAGATGGGTGGACAGGCAGGGAGGAAAACACCCTGCAGAAAGAGGGAAAGGAGAAAAGAAGTTAGGTGGACAGGCAGGGAGGCGGGAACTACCGCTGGCACCTGCCTTGAACTTGGGCTGCTACCGCTGGCACTTACTTGCCTTGAACGTGAGCAGCGAGGGGATGATGGTGAAGAGCACAGGAGACAGCAGCGCACAGCACTAAGGCTGTTCACCAAACACTGCACTCACAGCTGCTACCGCTGGCACGTGCCTTGAACTTGAGCAGCGAGGGGATGATGGTGAAGAGCGCAGGAGATAGCAGCACACAGCACCTTGCCTTAAAAAACCCATGCTCACGTACCCAAATCATGTATAAGAGACCGTGATTAAGCTTGACTGAGACGCCAGCACTTACCTTGAACTTGAGCAGCGAGGGGATGATGGTGAAGAGCACAAACGCAGTGCCCCACGACACAGCAGCGCACAGCACCTTGAGCACCGTCTGCACCACGCTCAGCTGCCTGGGGTGGGCTCCGTACGTCCACACGTTCACCAGGTGGGTCAGGCCTGGTGGGACGGGGGGAGAGGAGAGGTATGGGGAGGTTTGTGGAACAGGGGAGGGGAGAGGCGGCCCGTCTGCACCACGCTCAGCTGCCTGAGGTGTGCCTCGTGGGGTGGTCTGGTGGGGCGGGGAGAAAAAGAGGGGGTGGGGGAGGGGGAGGAGAAGGGAGGGGAGGGGAGGGAGGGAGACGGAGATGACTGACTGCTGAACGTACACAGCAGCACCCTGAAGGAGCAGCACTCTCAGGGAGCAGCACTCTCAGGGAGCAGCACTCTCAGGGAGCAGCACTCACCGCAGAGCACTCACCGTGAAGTATCCGAGCTCCAAAAAGATGGAAAGGTACGCCAGCGCGATGAGGAAGTCGCTTCTAGGGGTGCCTGACGCGCCTCAAGCAGCAGCAGCATTCACCGCACGGCACTCTCCGCACAGCACTCACCGCAGAGCACGATGAAGAGGCTGAAGAGCAGCATGACCCAGCGGTGAAGTTCTTGGCTTGGAAGGTGAAGTATCCGAGCTCCAGGGGGATGGACAGGTACGCCAGCGCGATGAGGAACTCGCTCACCACCTGGGGTTGCTTGACGCGCCTCAAGCAGCAGCAGCAGCAGCACTCAAGAAGCGAGCAGCACTCAACAAACACCGCATACGACAGACAACGAGCTGCGTACCGCAGAGCACGATGAAGAGGCTGAAGAGCAGCATGACCCAGCGGTGCGAGAAGTTCTTGGCCCGGAACGTGAAGTACCCAAGCTCAAGCGTGATGGACAGGTACCCCTGGGGCTCCTTGACTAGTCTCGACAGGCACCACTCGCAAAGCAAGTACCACTCACCGCAGAGCACGATGAAGAGGCTGAAGAGCAGCATGACCCAGCGGTGCGAGAAGTTTTTGGCCCGGAAAGTGAAGTATCCGAGCTCCAGGGGGATGGACAGGTACGCCAGCGCGATGAGGAAGTCGCTCGCCACCTGGCAACGCGCCAGGCTGTCCTCCATCAGCGCTGAGTCATCGTCGCACGTGCAGAAGAAGGGGATGACGTGGGGCATGGGATGCAGGCTGGGGGGGGGATGTGGGGGGAGAAGCGGGGGGGGACAATGTGGGGGAAAATGGGAGAGCAAAAGGGAGGGGGGGAGATGGGGAGCAAATTGGAGGGAGTGGGGCGTGAGGGGTTGGAAAAAGGGGGGGGGGGGGGGGGGGAGGGGGGGGGTTTGGGGAGGGGGGGAGTGGAGGTTCGTTAGCCAGGCTATCTCCAGACTTGTCAGAGCAAACACAAGGGATATCAACACAAGGGATATTAAAACAAGGGATATCAACACAAGGGATATTAAAACAAGGGATATCAACACAAGGGATATTAAAACAAGGGATATCAACACAAGGGACATCCTCATCACACCCGGAAACGACGCTACAGGCGGGGAGGAACTCACCCGAAGACACCCGAGGGTATGTTGAGCGCCGTGACGCCGGCTGCAAGGACGGCGGAGACGGCAGCAATGATTGTCACTCCTGTCAGGTTCACCCCGTTCGCCATGTCGCCGGAAGAGAAGCGCGCGAAACGTGCGAAACGTGCGAAACGTCTAAACCCGAGACACTGGATGGTTCTAAGCTTCCCTACGGCGCACTGAGATCGTGTGGCACTCAGCGTAGACTCGTTCTGGCTCGACTTCGAAGCTACTTCAACGCCGTACGAGCTGTTCCAGCTGCGATGTACTTGACGCAGTGACCTTCGGCGCACGTGCAGTGTTTCAGCTACTACCGCTTGATCGCCACTTATCGCTACTTCTTCGAGTAGTGGTAGTGGTTAATGGACTCCAAGGGGAGCACCTTCTGTGCACCGTCAGCGAGTCGTACAAGACGAGCTATTCTTGAAGGGGATCAGGAGATAAGTGCGATTATGCGAGTGCTGTGAGCTGCTGCATTCGTGGGGAGCGTTTGTTGTTGGATGCCAGCTTATTATTGTGATGCAGCAGTTGCTATGGTCGTCTTGACAATGCGGTAAGGAACAGGAGGGTTACCAGGTGACGCTGACTGCGAAGAAAGGCGAAGAACGTTCAGCGTTTGCGCGAGATAAGAGCGTGATACCCAGTGCATTCAGTGTGAGGTAGAATAATACATGAGTATGTAGACGCATGGTCTGAGCAGGCTTGCGAGCAGGGACATGTAAAATGAGCGAGGAAGCGGAGGAATGTGAGCAAGCGAGGACGATCAAAAGTGAGATGGAAGCTCGTTGATGCAGCAGCTGACTGGCCGAATAATCGTAATGCTGGTAGTTTACGGAGAGGTAGGCTGCTGAGTCAGGGGGCCGGATCCTAATCCTGGATCGTGAGCTCGGAAAAAGGGCGTGAGCTTGGAACGAAAGTCGGGAAGCGGAACGGAAGTGGGCAGGAGGAATGGAAGTCGGTAAGCTTGCTGAAAATGGCGTGACGTCTTCCTTCCTTCCTCGCCTGTCTAAAAAACTAAGATATAAGGCAGCACATGGGGGCTATTCGGCTGTCAGCCACGAGAAACAGGGACAAATAATCAGCGCAATGAGGCGTGGCGGTGGTTGTATAATGGCTCTGTCTGTGCCGCCCAGGGTATGAACCAACATGGAGGAGCGGGGGTATTCGGAGGGTGTGGTACTCAACCGTTCTTGATAGATATTCGATCGTGCCGGAACGCAAAATATATCATCTAACCGCAATGAGACGTGGTGACACACTCCCCGAATGAAGGTGAAGTGGAGGAGACATCGGTGGCACAGCCGCGGCATTCCCAAGGTTACCGCGGGCGTGATGTGCTACAGTACTTGACACCTCAGCGGCTGCGATCATTGCAGCCAGTGCGACCAAGATACAAGAGCAGTAACAACAACGAATTATCCAGACAACACAGCTACACAAGCTACCACTTCCTCGATCGTGTAAACTAGTATAATATAATACATGGATAAATCCTAGACCTAGCCAACGGAACGAGTACACACTACGGCATATATAATACGGTAACGTCGATTTTCACACCATAGCTGTTGGGCTGAGAAAAGCCCTTATGATATTTCCAGAGACTAAGTCCTATTTGTACAAGGTGTTTGAATCGTGCAGCAGAAGTATTGAGTAGTTGAACCCTTGCACTAGTATGTGAGAGCAAGTGATTGATGAAAAGAAACAAGCATACAGCAATATATAGAAAATAGGAAATAGAGCAGTTGTAGAATACAGTTGAAGAAACGGTTATCGAGTCGCACAGCGACTCGATCGATTGTTTGGTTACCACCCTTGCAGTCGTAACGGTCAGTCGCAACCTCCGGTTGCGATACTTCGAGTCCCTTTGTCCTTTTGTGTTCTTTCGTCCAACCTCCTCGTGTAACCTACGTTGACTCGCGTACTCGATACAACATTTCTTCGAGTGTAGTGTTACACTTCAGAAACTCTTTAGTATTCGATGTATTTCCAACACTCCCCTTCGTCTCTGGAGTGCTGACGTGTTCGGATTCGGTGACGTTTATCTGCCCGGTCAGCAGCATGCAGTAATCGAACTTTGCATTCGCCAGTTTCTTCGTCAGGTAATCTGCAGCCATTTCTGTCGTGGGGCAGTAACTGAATTCAAGTCTTCCCTTCGCGATTTCATTTTTTACGAAGAAATACCGCAGGCCGATGTGCTTGGTTCGGTTGGCAAACCCGTTTTTGTTCGCGATTTTGATCGCGGATTGGTTGTCGCAGAATAACGAGAAGGCGGGCATGGTCGTAATTTTCGCTTCCTCGAGCAGCTCCTGTAGGTAAAGTCCCTCTTTGGTCGCAGAGCAGAGAGCGATGTATTCCGCTTCAGCCGAGGATAGCGCAATTAGTTCCTGCTTGCTCGATTGCCAGGAGATAGTCCCGATAGGCTCTACTCGGTAGACGTAGCCTGTTCTGGAGCGACAATTCTCCCTATCTCCCGCGTGGTCGGCGTCAACATAGCCGAGTTGCTGTACGAACGATGGCGTTACTTTGCTGTAGGTAAGTCCGGTCGTCGGCGTAGAGACGAAGTAGAGCAGTGCTCGATTTAGCTCCTCGAGATCCTCTTGCTCCGGCTGTTTCAGGTATGTCGCTAGTTGGTTCGCGCTATAGGACAGATCCGGTCGGCAGGTTACTGCTGCGAACAGTAGACAGCCGAGCTTTTGTTTATACTCCTGGATTTGTTTCACGAGGAGCTTTGCGGAGGTTTCGCTGTTGTTCCCGTAGCGATAGGGAATCGCGACTGCAACTGGCGTTAGGCCGAATTTCTTCGCGACAACACCTGCGTATTTTCTGGCGTGTAGGTAGAACACCGAGTCGTCTTCGACGATGTTTAGACCTAGGTACTGGCTCACGGTGTCTGACACCGTGAGTGTTAAGTCACTCCTCAGCTCCCCTTCGAACCAGGTGGCGACGTCGGTAGTCGAGCCGACGTAGAGTAGGTCATCGACATAGACGATGAGTAAGACGAAGTCCCCCCCCCCTCCTTCTGTAGACAGTATATGCCTTGATCGTGCGGCAGCTGCAGAAAACCGATCATGACGAGGCGGTCGTGAAGGTGCTGCTGCCAGAGCCGCGGGGCTTGTTTAATTCCGTAGAGGAATTTTACCAGCTGGCACACTTTTGTGGGATCGCCGTTGAATCCGTGGGGCTGCTCAACGAAGATTTCGGTGTCCACATGTCCGTACAGGAAGGCGTTGGAGACATTGATCGAGCGCAGTGGTAGTTTTTTCGTGGCCGCGAAGGCGAGCAAAATGCGCAAGGAAGTATGTCGGGAGACTGGGCGAATGTCTCCGTGTAGTCGGTTCCATATCGCTGGTCGAATCCTCGTACGACCCAGCGAGCCTTGAAATGGTCGATGGAGCCATCCGCATTAGTCTTGATGCGGTACACCAATTTTCCCGAGAGCACATTCTTCCCCTTGGTTTTAGTTGCAGGTACCAGCTTCCACGTATTTCGGTCGTGCAGGGCCTTCAGTTCTTTTTCCATTGCTTCCTTCCATTTTTCCTTGTGCTCCCCCCCCAGAGCCTGCGACAGAGTCATTGGCTCGCGCGGTGATGACGGCGGCGGGCTCTAGACGGCGACCCATAGTCCAAGTATCTGCAGGCCCGTGGGTGTGTGTCGAGGGGAATTGTCATTCTCCGGATAAGCTGCTTCGTCACCGTCTTCGGGGTCGGGTAAGAAATTGGGTCCGATGCATTCAGAGATATTTGTGTCGACCGGTTGAGGTGTAGTGTGAGAGTACGACCCCGTTACACCAATTTCCCTTTTCCATATTTCCTTTCTATTTCATTCCTCTTTTTATCCTGATTCATTTGGTCTTTATCTCATCTCATTTGGTTTCCTATTCCTCCTTTTCCATTATCCTTTGGTTTATCCTGTTATTATAATTATATCACCGACCGGGCTCGGGATGTACTGGCGCGCTATATCTAGCGTAATCCTGCAGTAATCCCTTATAGCCAATAGCCTCGCGTGGCTATACGCAAGGTGATTCTATTTCTAGAAGGGTCTATTTCCTTTGGATAGGATAAACCTGGTTACCTGATGTATTCTGGAAGTATAAAAGCACCTTGTACTGAATGATGGTGCAACATTGAGCAAACCTTTTCTCGGGACATTCGATCCTGTGACACTTGGTAATCAGAGCCAAGGTTTCAGCTCAACGCTTAACCGCTGGGCCCCCAGGAGCACGCGGAGGATGGAGTCGAAACTTCAATTCCAGTAAGTACAATGCACTTTCATTTAAGTTTCGACTTTCCTCTCGCAGTTGCACCTGGGGTCCCCTTCGAAGGCGAGATGCCTCGCCAACCGTTCGATGGACTGCATCGACGGTGCCGATTTTTCGTGGGGGCAAACGGCCTCGACCTGGCGAGCGCGTCAGTTCCGGCGGAACACTCCCTGCGACATTCGGAGAAGTTCGCAGTTCGCGACGACACTTGGAGTTGCGCGGAACTCTGCGGAGGTTCGACCTCCGACATCCGTCTGATGGAGATTCGATGCTTCAGATCGACCGAGGCGAAAACGAAATCCTGCTGAGCGAGTTCGAGTTTCAGCGCGACTGGGAACGGGACCTCGCAAACCGCGAAGTTTTTCGGAGCGTCCGATCGTTCGACAGCCGACATCGACGACCGAAAATTGCTGCAGGAAACGAGTCAATCCGGGCGCCGAAAGCTGCTGAACGGGACTCAGGATTGTCTTCAGATCGCTTGGAGTTTGGACCGTCGGATCGTTTTCTACTTCAACGGACGAGATGGAGCGCGACTTCTGCACGAAGGGAGAATGACGCGCAGAACCAGAAATTGGCCGCCTTCAACATCGTTGACAACATTTGGACAACCAAATTCGGACTCCTCTATTTGGTGACGAATATGGTGCGCAAATCATCTGCAGAGTCAGAGATGTGCCAAAGAATTACCTACTTGGTAATATCTGCATGCAGAAAAATGACAAGAGAACGTGGATCGTCGGATCGGTGCGGAATCAACGGCACGAATGCAGCAGAGATTACACTATGGGAAAACATCATCATGAAGACACCATTCGTGACTAGCGACTGCACAATCGACGCATCTTCTGACTGGTGTCGATAATGATCTATTTATTTTGACGAAGTCATCTTCGTTAAAAATGGATCGACATCAACACGACGGGATCTTCACCCAGGAAAAACAATGGAGCTGCGTGAAGACATGTTCTCCATCCACGAGACACTTCTTCATACAAATTGATCGACAACCTATGGGATTGCAGAGAAGTAGCCGTTTTCTCTTGCAATGCTCCCAAATTCAAGTTGCTGCGAAGGAGCAGATTTCGCACGCAACGACGACGCAGTGAACCCGTCTCGTCAAGGCCAGCAAGACACTACTTCGTAACAGGAGCTGAACGATTCGTCTTCATCAAGAATCTCAGCCATCCGAGGTGATTGATTGGAGCAGTCTCAACATCAACCTCACGAGGCGACACACCAATCATGCGTCGCGATTCCAGGTGTTAATGACCTGCGTGGAAATATTTCCGTGCATGTCACGATGCTTGACAGATTGAGGAGTAATTAACCTCTAATCCGGCAAGTACTCGTTCACTAGCGACCCTACGACACATGCATTGGAGGCGATTCTACCAGAAGCCGAAGCGTTACAAGCACCAACGTAACTTCGACGATGCAGGAGAACGTCAAGCAACACGAGGTGTCAACAAATGAGGGAGATGCGGACTACTACAACATGATCACGCGCTCTACCGACCGTACATCGGAGGCACGGATGAGCATACCAGGAATTGCTACCCGTGGATACATTGAGGGGAGAAGCAAGTTTCTCTTCATACCCTCAAATGAAACAATCACCGGCAGCAATGGAGCAACACATGTGTACTAATGTGCACGTGTTCCTGGTAGTTACGCCTGTTACATCCATCACGAACACTCTACTGGGAAGAGGGAGTTGATGGATTCTCCTTCAACCGGTACGAGTTGAGAGAATTCTCTGCAGCAGCTGCCGCCGTCGCCATCGTCGCAACCGCCG